AACGATTAGATTTCACACCGCGTGTATCAACTATAAAAAATTTTATCAATTTGATTTATTCATGCATTTGACATTGTTTGTAAATAAATTTTTTAACGCCGCTTACAATATACAATAAATCAAAGTTTATGAGTTCAATACTTTGGCCCCTATGAGGTAATTCTGACAAGTTTTTTATTAAAAAATCGTAAAATAAAAAAAAAAGAAAGCTCAGCAACCACCTCATTTGTTTCTCTTCGTTACATTTCTGCCAGCAACATACTATCAGTATACCAGCGATAATGTAAACAAATGTGAGACATCGATTGCTAAGACAAAGTTGTTCACAACTTTTGAAGGACTATCATTTCCGTCGATTATATGAAAATTATCTATTTTCATTAAAAATACAATCTTTTAATAGATTTTCTGTATTCTCTTTATCTTAGTATTATAGAATTGAAATCGTTAACATTTTTTCTTACTAATATTCTACGACAGTTTTTGAAAACATCAATTAATTACATTAACAAATGATTCCGTTACCAGGATCTATAAGCTTCCTGCACGAGTCTACCGGAAAGACTCCATTTCCTGTCAGAAAAGTCAAAAAAAAAAATGGTAAAAACTTTCACGTGAAAAGTCATTATTGGAAGCTGGTCGCTATCTTTGCTTGCTTATGGCCAATTTCAATTGCAACTAGACCAATTCGATCATTGAGTTCATACTATCAAGTTCTTACCATTTTTCAATCGAAATCGAACGTAGCTTATTCAACACAATAGTACATTTTTAAAAATTTATTTCTTCTTTTCATGGCGAAACATTTGAAATTTAGTGAAATGTCGCTATTAGACTATTTCATGATTTCCATCATTACTAGATTTAGGTTTGCTACATTCATTTCGAAAGGATATTAGAAAAACAAAACGAATATTCATAAAATACTTATAAGACATGTTCATAGTTTCAAGTTATTAATAACTATATAAATTGAAGAAGATATACAATAACTAATGTGTTACATATTATGATATGATATCGAACAGACGCCTAAAATTTTTACGCTGCCGATTGAAATAATAATTTCTGAAAATTACTTTTGAAATTTATCTTGAAAAATAAAAACTTACAATCTTTGTTGAAATTGAAACTAGTATTCGATTAAATTTGATTGATAATGACATAATACAAACTGAATATATTTTCATAATATCTACAATATTCTATAGAAATCTGATTCTATCATATTATAGCATTCGGTTTTTATTATTTAGATAGAGACAAAACCTAGGATAGATAATCATGAAAAATACTGGCGATTTCATTATTGGGAACATGTCAATGCTGCGGAAAAAAATCCCTTCATAATAAAAAAAAAAATATAGATAATGTTTCTTGAAGCTTCTTACATAAAATATGACCTTATGTACTTTCTATTTCCTTCTTCAATGAACTTCGCTAACAGAAGAACTTGATTTCAGTGCAAAATAGATTTTATTTCTGACTCTGACTAATTAAATCTTTCTATTCGGTTGCAACATTGTTTATATCAATCCACCTCTTTAACATTACCTTTCAATCTTCTATCTGTTCATCATAATACATTTCTAACAGTGACATTCATATTTTCATTAAAAAGATCAGAATAATCAATTATTGGCATAAAAAATTAGGTATCAATTTGACTCTCGTCAAACAAATGAAATCTGTTTCACCCAATCATTCAATATTCAATTAATTCATAGGAAAAAAAATTTTTCTCATACAGATTTATATTTGACAACAAAAAATCATTTCCTAATGATTTAGACTCCACAAACATGGCAAAATCGTTGGGAAGGTCCAACTGATTCACTACAATATTTACGTGCCGTCGTATCAAAAGCAAAAGCAATGCAACAAATAATAACATCAATAAAAGATCAAGATATATTTTCTCAAACAATTAATTTATCCGATCTTTTTCGTCCAGATACATTCTTAAATGCATTAAGACAACAAACAGCACGAGCAACAAAACAACCCATGGATGCATTAGTATTAAATACGTCATGGTCTGGAGAAATTAAACATGGAAAAAATATTTCAATTAAAATAACTGGTTTACAATTAGAAGGTTGTTTATTTGATGGTGGTCGTTTAAGTGAAAGTGCACCTGATTCACCAAGTGTTAATGCATTTCCAGCATGTTATATCGCTTGGATACCTCGGGTAGGATTGATTTTCTTTTTTGTATCATTGAAATTTTCATTTTAAATTTTAGGAAAATGCACAACAAGAAACACGTGATATTATTTCACTACCCGTATATTTTAGTGCAGATCGAGATAAAATAGTCACACGATTAAATGTTCCATGTGGTAGTGATAAAGACAAATGGTTACAATGTGGAGCTGCACTGTTTCTTAAAAATGTTTAACTATAAACTCTATATATTTGTCAATAAGTGTTTCTTTCTTTTTTTTTTCTAAATAAAAAATACTCATTAAGAAAAAATCCATTATCTTAATAAATGCGATTATATCGGACTGCAACCACAAAGAAATCGAAAAGATTCAATTAGAGAAACAAGAAAAATCGTGATTCACTACGGCTTTATCAATTAGAACAAGTCATCTGGTGAATATGTGACAGAACAAACGTTTTGCTTCCACTCAGTAAATTGATGATATTTATGACAAAATTTTATATATATATATATATAGTTAATTGATCGAAACATGTAATTTTATAGAGGAAGATTTGAAACTATCATCTGAAAAATAAACAAACTTCGAAGTGCATAAATTTTGTCAAATGTTATGATTGTTTTACTAATCTTGAGTGAATATTTTCATCTTACATTTTTGAAGAAAAATATTTAAAAAGCTTTTTTCATAAAAGCTGTGTTTTTTTGCTCGCATGGATTTTATATAAGACTTATCATGTTAATGGAATAATGCTCATCATATATGCTTATTATGATTGTAGCTTTGTAACACTATTCATATTGTTAAAAGTTTTCATATGGATCGTTTTATTTTATGAAGTTTACTGTTTCCAATTTATTTTTTTATATACTGGTTACTGGAATTTGTCTATCTGACAATTTTATTCTAAAAAAAAAACTCCAGTATGCACTTCAAACTCAAATAAATGAAACGTGACTACTATAAAATTAATGAGACATCATTCAACAAGATTAAAGTAAATATGGAAATGTCAAAAAAAAAATTATTAATAAATGGAAAGCTTCACTATAGAAGAGTATGAGAAAATGATTAGCAATATTCCAAAAAAGGTTGAAAATAACATCAACGCATGAAAATCATTTAAATTTTCTATTAAAAAGTTTTGTTTCTTAAATTTTCTTCAACAATGCAAGATGAAAAATTCACTCAAGATTAGTAAAAATAATCATAACATTAGACTAAATTTATACATTTCGAGGTGTCTTTTTTTTTGAGATAAATAGCTCTAATCCTTCTCTACAAAATTATATATTTAGACCAAATAACTGTATATAGTTTGTCATAAATATTATTGATTTACAGGAACGAGTCGAAACTTTTGAATCATCTTTTAGATGGTGCCTAAAAAGAGAAAAATAAGTATTAATAATCAATTAAATTATTAGATATTTTTTGTGAAATAGTTTTATTTTTCTTAACTAGACTTGAATAATAAATTAGATAAATTTTGTAATTTTTTTCTTCTATTTTGATGATAATCGAGATAAAAAAAAAAGGAGACATTGAATCTACATAATGTGACACTGTTTAAGTATGATCTGTCAATATAATACTAAACAATTAGTTGTTTCATCATTTTCATGACAAAAACTAGCTTATAGAATGAGCGGAAGTTTCTTTCTTCTTTCTTCTTTTTTTTTCTTTTGCTTCTTGGAACTCCCAAGCAATCCTAAAAACGAGAATTGTGAGTGACTAATCAAGATACGGAAATGATAGTTTCTCTTTTTTTTTCGCTACTTTTTTTTCTCTCTTAGTGTCTGGCATTGAGAATATCAATATAAGGAAGACAACAGCAGGCGATTGACGACTACTTTTCGAATAATAACAATTTACAAATTCATATAAATATAATTTATTCAATAACAAATGGAACTCGCATACAATAAAACTTTCCTCTTATTTGTTATTATTATCGTAAGTAAATATGAATTTATTTTCGATATTCAAAAAAAAAAAGTTTATTCAATTTCATACATGAAATTCAAAACAAAATCACTTTGTTTTCGGTCTATGACTTTTCTATAAAGCATATATCTCTGTTTTATTACGTGAATTTTTCTATGACTAAACAATGTTGAATGTCTAATATCTTCTTTTGTCTTTCAAACTAGTCGTGTCATCAATGAATAATAGAACGGCTAATATAACGGATGCTTTTATTCCACTTCTGTTTCATCCTTTGTATTAGTTTCCGCTCAAAAACAATATTAAATTGTTTATTGTCGCATATTTCTAATTTATTTGTTTCTAGATTGGCAGTCAATTATTATATGTTTGTACCGAACCTTCTACAATACAATCGAATACAAATTCTATTGATTTAAGTAAACGATATCGTCTTGATAAGAAAGAAGCATCAACATCAAATGAAAATAAAAAATCAAATGATGATGATGATGATGATCAAAATAACGGTGATCATTTACTATTAATGGACAAACGATACCGTTTTGATAAACGTTATCGTTTTGACAGACGGCAATTGGATATGGATAGAATTAATAAACGATATCGTTTTGATAAACGTTATCGATTTGATTAAAGTATAAAAATGAAAATAAAAGAAAAATCACAGAGACATATTGTGAAGAAAAATGGATGTTCAAAATAAGATCAAAAAAAGTCATTTTCAGTTTTTTGTTTGTTTGTAACATCCATATTAAAAATATTTTTTTTTCGCCATTTAAAAATAATAATAATGATTCTCTATTTTTTCTTCCCTCGATATCAATCATTTTAATCAAAATCAGAAGATTATACGAAATTGATTTCCTTAGATATAGTAAGTTAGACTTCATGTTCATTGAATATACGTAATGGTTGATATTTTTCATCTTGTGAAGTAGAAGACAATGGAGTAGATTCATTTAGATTATTGATTATAGGCATTGGTGATGATAAAGTTTCAGAATCATTTGGAACTCTTGTAAAGTGAAATTGAGCATAATGTTGTTCATTTGCAGACGATGATATTAAATTAGTACGAGTTTCTTTTTCCTTATAATTATGTTTAATTTGACATGTAACTGATAATAATATTCCATCAATGATTGATAAACCAAAAGCAATCCATGCTATTATAGTTGAATAACCAATACGAATATTAATACTTGATAGAAATCGATCAATAGCAGTTTTTGTATCTTCAGATAATTTATAAATTTGATTTGATTTATAATGTTTTTCAATAGCAACTAAATATGCAATTGATTCATATTCGAGATGTTTGTGTATAACTATTAAATTGATTGTTAGAAATAGAATTGATAATAATGATGATAATATACCAAAATACTTTATTTTAAGACGATAATGTAGATCAGTAAAACATGGAAATAAACCAAATAATAAACAAGTGAGAAATAAAAATATTAATGCCATTATTCCAACTATTTGACAAACGAAAACATAAGGTGGATAATGACAATCACACGACATTTTTGGATCAAGATTTGTAGGTGAAGTTGATAGGTCAAATGTTGCATGAAGATAATCATTGTTAATGTCAAAGTTTTTTTCACTTGCTTTTGTACAAAATCGATAGTATTGTAAACTATGACATTCATTAAAATAATCATCACGATATCGAGGTAAATAATTTTTTGTACATTTATGTTGTTGGTTATTTACAACGGCATCAGCTAAATCAAGTTGATTATTATATATTGATGAATTACTTAAAATATATTCACATCGTTGAAATAAACCATATGACTGACGACTATAACGATGTACACGATTAAAATAATGTAAAACTTCAGTACGTAAAAGCGCATCTACACCATCAACATATAATGAATGTGTATTTGGAGTTATTTCTTTCCAATGTGGTGTAAAAAAAGCAATACATTGAAGTATAATAGTGATTAATGTCAAAATAACACCGAAACCGATACCATAAGATAATTTATTTGTAGTTGATTCTTTCTTTTTATTTAATGTTGTATCACTTTTTGTTTTTTTAGTACAATTTTTGCATATTGAGATGTTTATATTGCGTTTTTTAGCCATCAATCTTTTTTATTTTATCAATAATTATCATTACATAAGTAATATTTTACTGATATCTATATCGACTGTGAAAGTCTATAAAGAAAACAAAAATCATCATCAATTTACAATAAAAAAAAAAAAAAAAAGAACAAAAATGTCAATTACTGAATCATACATCTATTCTCCTCTATTAAAGATGATATATAAAAAGAATGATTTAGTTTTTAATCTTTGATATTGTCGTTATTGGATGTGTTCTTAGCCTTGTGTTACTATTGAATATTGTTGACAGCAAATTGATCGTTTGTCACAAATCAAACATTCATATATAGTAATTACAGTTCTTTTTTATATTTGTCAGAAGAGTGTTTTGTATGTATATATATATATACTTATGTCAAAATAGAACAGCAGTAAAGTGCAGTTGTAATATTGGTATATGAAATTTTTATCCAACCTTAACTACCTTGTTCTTCATTCTTACTATTCATGTTCTCTTTTTTTATGCAACTGGCTTATTATTTTCTTTCTTTGTGTGTCGACAAAACGAAAGAAAAGAGAATTTTCGTTCTTATGTAAAAAATAAGCAGCTGAATAAGAATGAGTCACACTGTCATCAAAAAAGAGACAAATTTTACAATTTAACTACTTATATATATAAAAACGACGTATAGTTGACAATGACTACGTCCAAGGCTAACAATTTTTGGATTTTTTTTCTTATCGTCTTACAGATGCTATATACTATCGTGACATTGATTTTTTTTAGATTAAAACCATCGAAAATTTTAAAAAAAACCATTAATCTTATGTTTGAGTATTAACAATGTATACCATTTTTGTCAAGTATCGATTACTTTATTAAGCTTTTCTTCTTTTTTTAAAATCATTTTGAGTTTATGCGCGTTCACATTAACCTACCAAGACGTCAAATACATTCATCATTCATTCTTATATATATATACATATACATGATGTAATGATAATTCATTATTGACCTTATTCGATCAAAAAAAAAAGACTGCTCGACGGATTGACATTGATTTTGCGAAATGATGAATGAAAGATCTATACAGTAATCGCTATTGGATAAAAGTCAATTGGTACATTCGTATCTGAAGGGTAATAAAACACATTAAGAATCAAATGAGTGTACAGACAACTGTTGAAAGTTTATACATGTGATTCATTAAAAGAAACAAGACAAACAAAAACATTTCTTGATTAATTTATCAAAGAAGCAGGAAATAAATATCAATATTTAATAGATTTATTAACAATTTATTATAACTACGAAAAAAACATAAACATTAGAATATTTTTATTCGATGCAATTACATCTTATGTCAATAAAATAAATTTAATGACGAAATGTGATTTCTTTAAATAACAATTAAATGCGATACATATTGGTTAACAAGTCTTTTCACAAATTTTCATGTTTTCAATATATAAAGCGAATATTACAAGACTTGACTACTTTTTCGATATTAAGTGTTTAAAAAAATCACTCAAAAAATTAATATGAAAACATATATTATTATCAATGAATGTGCTGATAGACAATAATAGTACTTACAAAAATGCTTACATTAAAAAAAAAGTATTTATAGACAATTCAACTGTTTCAACTTTCGAAAGAAAAACAATCTATCGTCGAATAAATATTCTATTCTATGAAGTACAAGGCTATTCATTTTACATCACATGTAGTAAATACGTAAAAAAAAACTGATCATTACATACTGTTTTGTTTGAAATAAAATAAAATACTCAGTCTAAACTAATATTTAAATAAGTTGTAAGAAATTTATATAATTTTCAATAAATCAACTTCAAAATAATTTAACTAATAACTCTACATCGAAAACGTGTGAAATATTGTTAAAAGAAAACATTAAAGATTTATAATAATCAATTTTTCGAAATATTTAATAAACTTATAGATGCAAACAAAAATAATAGTTAATGATTAAAACTAAAAGAATAAATAAGCAATTTTCAAAAAATTATATTTTTTGAAATAGAATTTCAATCTATTGCAAATCAAACGAATGAATTCTTTATATCGTCTAGAATACAATATTTAGAGCGCTCTTTCGTTTCTATAAGATAGTTATTCATCGTACGGTGTGCGTTCTTAGAAGATATATTTGAATGTTTATAACAATATCACTTCTTTTTTTTTCACTTCACGTCTACTGTATTTGCTAAATCATCGATAATAATGCAGCGAATGACCACTTCATTCGAACAACATATGCCAAGTTGGGTTATAGAAGTATAAAATCTATGAATAATTTAATATGAATATGGATTATTAATTATTTTGTTTTAGCATAAATTAACAAGAGAACAAATAATAACAACTATTAGTTCATGGCTAACAAAACATTGCACAAAAATTGCTGTTTTTTCACGTATAAATCAATCATTGAAATCTTTCTTTTTTGTTAAAGTTTTTCTTTTTTAAGTTACTAATAATCTTCTTTATTCATGGCGAGATGCTTACTATAGTACAAATACTCCACATATTGAACATGTTATACAAATATTTACTCGTTTATATCGAGAATTCTATTTATTAGATCATCTTATTGATATTCTTGTAAGTAATAATTTTATTTCAAACTTTAATATTCTATGATCATTTCAAAATAATAATAGATATCTGAATATCATTCATTATATACATATAACTATGCTGTACTATGGTTGAATACAGATTTAACAAGACGTGAAGTTCGTCTTTCATGGCGTTGTTCAATTGTTAATTGGCTAATTGGTATTCAAGTAAAGTTTAAAAAAAAAGAAAAAGCACACACATAAGAATTTCTTTTTTTTTTATTGTTCATTATAAATTTTTCTTTAGCGTAAGAATAATATGAAAGCTGAAGTAACTCAACATACTGTTCGATTAATCGATGCTATTGATACATTACAAGGTCGTAATGAACGAACATATCAATTAAGAGCAATGGCTTTTTTTATTCTTGCTGCTAAATTTCATAATCGTAGTCGAATTAGAGTATGTATTCAAAACTTTATATTGTAAATTAGGTTTTATATATATATATGTATCTAGATGGAAGAGTTTTCACGTTATTCAGCAAATGCATTTGAACCACGTGAAATTAGTGACTGTATGCATACAGTCTACAATGAATTAAATTTCAAAGTTCAATTGCCTCTCGCATTGGATTTTCTTGAATTATATCTTGAATTAAATTCTAATGAAACTTTTCAACTAAATACTTCTAAGGTTTTTTTCTATTTATTTCATTACTCAAAAAAAAAAAGAAAGACTATTTTCTATTTATTTAAGATTCGTGCATTAGCAACTTTATTTATTCATGTTGCTTGTATTCAATCATGGTCAAGTTGTTTTAATGCATCATTATTAGCTAGTTCTGTTCTCATACTTTGTTTAAAATTTTTACATGATAAAAATCCTCTTCTACAATTATGTTCAATTGTTTGTTTATTTGATCATTCAGTTGAACTTATTCTTGGTCTTGCTGGTTATATTGCCTTAATTGTTAGTGATATGCCAAATATACCAACAGATCGATCAAATTATTATTTTGTAAGTTAAATCGTTTTTGTTTCTAATAATATTTATAAAAATAAAACAAATTTCTTTATAATTAGTATGCACATAAAATGTATAATGATGAATTTCGTCATAAGAATGATGATAATTTTAAATTTGATCGTGTTAAAAAATTTTGTCGAATATTTGTTCAAATCGGTGATATTAATCGACAAATTTTATATGGTATGCGTACTCTTGTATTAAATCAATTACGTATTTTAGAAAAAGCATATCCACATAATTATAATTCATTATTCTATATGAATATTAATGAAAATCAATCAAATTATATTAATGATAAATATCAATCAATACAATTTCCAATCCGAGTTGTATTAGCAGCAAAACGTTTTGCAAAACGTATTTTAGAAAGACGAAAAATAATTCAACAATTAAAAACAACATCATTAATTGATTGAAAATATTTATAAAACATATTCTTTGTTTTGTTTTTATTTCATATTTAGAATATATTTGTTTTTTCAGTGATTTAATAAGGTGCTTTTATTTTAAAAAACGAAGACGCGAAAAAAAAAACTGTACCATGCTTTAACAGAAAAAAATGATCATGGTGTAGCCTGAAATAGTATTTATCTACTGAACATATTTTCGGATCCAAAAATTGTTTTTAAAAGTTGAAAAATCGAAATGACATCTAATTAGCGAAAACTGTAGATTGTTTCGCATTTTTCTCTAACCAACTTTTCTACGAGAGAAAATGTAGAAACATTCCTGTTTCTCCGACATGGCAAGTCCGATGAAGCTAAAACTTTTTTCACATATATTAGACACTGTTTGGGATGAAGATATTTACTTTTTTTTTATAGTGTATGTTCCATATTTTAGCTTTTTTATTCAAAAGATAAAAAAATAGCCACCTTAAACAATGTCTAATGCCTGTAAAAACATTTTCAACTCGATCGCACATGTCATCTTGGAGAAACGGGAAAGACCATTTTTCGCTACTGTGAATACAGTCTTTCATAGACAACAGCATCTCGAAGTTTTGTCCAAAAAATTCCAAGACGGATGGAATACCCTTAAACAGAAGTCCCAGAAGCTCTGAATTAGTTTTAAAACTGACTGTAATTTAAGTGATTAGTAACATGGATGAAATAGTCAGTTGATTATGTACATATAATAGACAGTGGAAAGATAAGAATCCAATCAGTAAAAATTTCATATTCGGTTGCACAAGACTAGAAAAACAAAGTGAATCGAACTATGAAATATTTCAATTTCTATACGTACTCTTTGCTTTAATTGACTGTTCGTAAATTTTATTCACTGACCTTTAGATTTTTTAGTAAACTTTATTTATAACTAACTGACTAGTTAAGCAATTTATCAATTGTATAAGTATTTAAATTATCGAACAGATCATTTTCCCTTTAAAATGCATTGGTTTTGCATACAACACAAGCAAACTTTTTTTAAAATTTTGCTAAACTACAATAAGGTTCTAGATTGATAACTTGAATAATAATAAAAATATCTTACCAACATGATACTATCCTTTATTAGTATTTTCATAGTTAATATATAAAAATTAAAACTATTTTTCCAAATAAAAAGAAATACATCAAAGGTTGTCAATATTTGCAAGTTTAATTTACATCCAGATTCAGAGTTGTAACTAATAATATTGATAATTACTCCTTAGATATTACTTTTTCTTCAATGATCGATTTGAACTTTTCAAAATTTTTTTTCATGTTTCTTTTCTTGAAACAAATGATCATAAAAGTGTTTCAGCGGCAAATCAATTACTTTTTTATTGGTATCAAACGATATTTCTATGAGCAAATATACATAAGACTCTGCTTTTGTCAAATAGTCGAAAGTTTATGTGTTTTAGTTTTGTTACTATAGTTCAAGTGAATTTCATTTATCTGTCATTAGTTAAATTCTTACAATAGCATGTAAAAGAAGAATTATCTGTTTCCATACAGGTTTATCTAACTAGTTCTCATATCAACATTAGTCTAATTATTTTTGTATGGTATTTCTATCGATTCAAATTCTTTCGAAAAAGTTGATAAAACACGACATAGTCGCGTTGTGACAATTTGTTCGTCATAGACCTATTGTACCAAGAAAGCGTTTTGTTCAAACAAAATTTAGCTTGTTTGATTATAAACTTCTCGTGTTTATGAATATATATTGTGGAGAGATTTCAAATATCAGATAAGAGGAAAAAACAACTTTTGTTGAATATGAATAATTGCTGCTTTATCAAATAGTATAACAATAACAAACATACTTTGATTTTAGACATATGACACAATGCAAATTTATTAAATGATGACATAAATGCCGTCCTATAAGTATTTGTACCCGTCTTATGAATACCTAACAATACTAAGACAAAATTTTTCTTTCGAATAACATGACATTTGTATTTAGATTCTATTTGATTTATTACAAAGACATATTTTCATTCTAGAAAAGTCTTATCCTATTATTCTGGTAATAATCAATGAAATCTCTTGTTATGATAAAAGTTTATCTTATTACACATAATACATAAGCAAACATAGATCATAATTATCCATCGTTTTTCTTTCACATTCCTTAAACAGACATTTCTAATGTGTCTATATAACATTCACTTGATATAGAGCAAGAACAATATGAAAACATAAATCATTTCTATTATTAGCATGCAATTTATGACATTAATGACCTGCCTTTTTTCTTTGTTCTCATTAAGAAGAATAACAAAAGCATATGAACATACATTTTTATCACTTATATTGCTTATCCTGATAGCAACCATTTGTTTTTATTACTATATCTTATTCTATCATCAACTTGTCAATCAAAGTAAATAAGACAAGTTCTTTTTATACGATACTAGACAAAAAAAAAAGAAGTTTTCTTTCGTATTTCTTATTCTTTTATTTTTGTCTATAGATTACATTGGCTTGTTTAACCTTTGCTTGTTTTTCTGATTAACCAACATGATGATCTGTTGTTGTATTTTTTTATTATTATAATTGGATCTTGCAGAGATATCAATCGACATAAAAAGAAGAAGAAAAAGCAGTTGACTTTATACGCAATGTTTTTTTACCGAATCGTTTGATAAAACCAAACTCAATTTCTAATGTAACAGTGACACATTCATATTTCTTATATGTCATCAAAACGATAATCAAAAGAAATCCAACCGAGAAAAATCTGCTTTTCTTATTTGAGAGAAGAATCAATTAACATAACTGAATAACAGACTTACAAGAACGTTTCACATATATACATACATACAGCCGGATATAAGATAACCATTTATTGTCATTTTTCTTTCTCTACATTATCCTATCATACATATGAAGCCACTTTCTATCTCATTTTTTCTTATGTAATTATCGATTTCAAATGGCACGCTAGAAGAAAAAACAAGTGAGTTACAGAGAGATATCTGTTTATTTATTTATTAATCAAGTTGAAAATAGAAATATCAATTAGCATGAAAGTCGATTACTTTCAGGTTTAATGACATTCTTCATAGAATTGTGAATACCAAATTTTCCATAAATGAAAACATTTATCAGTATCAGTTTCCTAATTAGAATTTAATTGTTTTATTTTATCCCTAAACACTAATGTTGATAACCGATACGGTATTAATTTCATTGAAAAAATCTTCGATGTATAATTTTTTGATTAGATTTTTTCTAATGGTGTTATTATATAGAGAAAAAAGTTACTTGAAAATAAGATAACCATAGAAATAGATATACAAGTGATAGATCCAATCGAAAACTTGTTGCCTTCAATAGAAATAATTAATATTTGGCATTTTAGCACTATAAGCTTTTTAATGAAAATGAAACATTATATTATATAAATTTGAAACTGTTGCTCGTTCAGATTTCATAGACTAACTGAATTTAGTAAATCGGAAAAAGTATAAGAACTGACTGTTGTAGAAAATCAAAATTTCGAATATCAGCACGATTTTTTGAAATTCATGAATATGACAAATAATCTCATTTATTGATTCACGGCATATTAAACAAATATAAATAATACATTTTTACCTTTCGTCTTATTGATATTTAATTCTTGTGTTAAACCAAACCGTTCATTTCACGGTTTTTCTCTTAGGTTTTCGTTTGACTACTTTCAGACAAAGTATAGAGCCGCTCATTTCTCTAGGAATACATTTTTTAAGACGACTAATTACTTGAAACGTACTAGCCGGTTTATTACATTTCAGTCGCTTAGTTGTGACGCGTATTCTTCTTCTTTCACTTGAGGCGTCACTCATGAATGAAGTCAACTATTCGCTCTTCACATCTAACCATCATTTCAAGTTGTGAACAAGTTTGTCTAGATCGTAAGAATATCGCGAGTGAAAATCTAAAGTTCATTTTTCAGAGCTTCACTCCTTTCAGGATCTATATAGATGCGGAAAATAATAATTAACAGTAGATAGTTTCTTGATATGGTCATAAATGAGTCAAACAAAAACAAAAGCTCATTAATATCTCGGATGCTATATACATATGTAATTTAATTATTTATCTTGTGTGAATTAAATTCGTTCAAGATGGAATCCACAACATTCAGAAAAAAACTTTACATAACTTATATAAATACCATATATGAATAATAATGAACAGATGAGAATTTCCTTATATGGCAATACATGATTTAGATTTCTAATCAGCTAGTCCACTCTTTATCTAAGTCGAGATAGGGAATTTCCATTGAAAACTCATCATTCTTTCCTTTATGTAAGTTTAAAATTAGATTTACCAAATGTTGTGCATGATCATGTACAAATGTTCAGAAACTTGTACGAGCTTGCAATTACTTTAACATCTCATGGAAATAAACTACAGGAATTTATTATTCAATACCATCAATGTAAAAACATACGTACGAAATGAACTTTGAGTTTATGAATGAATACTTTCAATAACGTTTGTCGTGATTTTTTTGAAATATTTTTATCATGTCCATAGTTTTTCTTTATTCAAACTAATCTAATTGACTATCAACAGATTAAAACCCGTCGATTAAAAGAAAACTTTCGACCCTGATCCGAGCTGACTTAGTTATTTAATTATTTTCTATGCAGCGAATAGTACATTCTATGCATTTTTCAGGCAATGTTGACAGTGATCTAATGAGAACTAAATTTTAATTGGTTCCCGCTTCCAGAGTAATACATACGGTATAAGTTTCCTACGCGACGGACTCTACTGCAAGTATGTTTATCTCTTTTTTTTTTGTACGAACTTAATCATCCTAATAAACAGATGATATTTGTACAAACACCAGTAATTTGATATTGCTTATCATTGTGGAAAGATGGTGGACAGTTGCTACGTCAAGTTATTTCCTTTAGTTACTTTTTCATACTGATTAAACATCTAGCAGTAAAAAAAATGTTTTTGATAATAAATAAAGTATGGCAAAAATAAAATAAGCAATAAGCCTTCACCTGAAATAATCAATTATTATTTTAAATACAACAAAGATTATAAAATAGAATAATCAAGAATAAATAAATTCGATCGGATTAGATGAAAACGGACTCATTGTGAAATTTCGATGGCTTTTTATTTTAAGCAGAGAATCATACAGAACTTTCAATCTGCACTTATATTCTTCTCATTAATTTCCATCAAATCAGAAATGCTATAAAAGTTGCTATACTTCTAAGGGCCTATCGGCATGCGTTTTCCATAAAATGAAGTTCTTAATAGTATTACTAAGTGATGCGCTTCTGATGCTTTTTTAACTAATCAATATTCCGTAATAAATGTTGCCATATTTTTCGACGACATCTTGCTGAACAGAACCCTAGAATTGCGATTTAATCTAAATGCGTGCTGCTGATAAGTAGTTTTTAATGAAAATGAATATTACTAAGAACTATAGCATCCTGCTGAGCATTGTATATATTGTCTTGCTGTGCACTATGCTGTCTTGGTGAGTGCCTTATCGTCCTGCTAAACACTTCTTTTTAATGAAAAATATATACTGCTATGCAATATAGCATGTACGAAGTATTCATAGGAATAAGACTTTTTATGAGGATTAATAGGGAAAAATTTCGGGTTCGCTTCGAAATTGACTTCCCAATTCAATCAACAAAGAAATCTTTTTTTTTTGTTTTCTCCATTTACAATCAACTCTTACATATCTACAGTGTCCGTTGAGATTATACTCAAATCAATCTTGTTGACCCAAATGATATAAGTAAATTTCAATTACGTAAGAGATATTCTTGATTGATACATTGTTATTTTTTATGATACGACCATGCTACATGTGCAATCATATAGGTTAATAGCACAGAATTGAATTATGTTTTTCTTTACAAAAATAACAACAGAAGATAAATCTATTGTTCTTTAATGTTTTTCTAGTTAATTAACAATGGCGAAGAAGTTTAATATTCGTGAATGGGTCCTATCTGTTAAGTATGTATTCTAAGTTTTAATATTTTCTTTTGTTTAATAATATTTCTCTATTTAGATATTGGTCATTACTTTTCATTCCTCATATGTCAGTCTGTTTAATTTTTTTAATTTATATTCTAATGGGTGCTAGTATTATTCAAGAAATTGAGACATGTCAACAAGAAACTTCTTCATCAATAAAAAATATTCCACGAGAACGTCTTATATCAAAAATAATTGAAAAACGACAAACATTGGATATTGAACAATATAAAAAATATGTTTCTAAACATATTGATCTGTATGAAGAAGAAATTAAAAATAAACAGAAATATTTTCAAGAAAATTCATCATGGGACTTTTCGAAATGTTTTTTCATTGTTGTAACATCATTAACAACTATAGGTAAGAATTATAAAAATCTTTTTCTAATTTGAATGGTTGGTTTGTTTTATTATTTATAATTTATTTTCAAAGGTTCAAATGAATTTATACCAAAAACAAAGTTAGGAAAATTATTTCTAATGATTTATACAGGATTTGGCATTCCATTAACATTTATTTTCATATTTGATTTAAGTTATTTAATAAAACGAATAATTAACTATATTTCATTGATTATTTTTCATGTTTATATATCAAAATATTTTCTTCATATTCGTCGATTATTTGTTTTTCGTTTTATTGATAAACAATTAAATATTTCATTTGAAGAAGATGATGATGAAGAAGATTTAAATAGATTAAAATCTTCTTCAACAATTCAACAATATATTAATAATCTTCTAAATATAGTTAAAAATTTTAATGATGACAATGATTTAACATTAAAACGATTAATATTAACAATTTTTATTTATATTCTTATTGGTAGTTATTTTATATCATCCAAGTCTATATTTGATAGTTTTTATTTATGTTTTACAACTATATTTACAATTAGTTCAAATAGAATAATTGATCAAGAAAAGAATTTATTTTTTTTATCTATTTATTTAGTTGTTGGTCTTGCAATTGTTGTATTGTGTGTAAAAACTATCAAAATAAGACTAGAAACATTATTATTGAATTTTGGAAAGATATTGCTCAGAAACCTATTAGAATTTAGTCAACAAATAGGTAAAGATCATAAAAGTTATTTCAATGAGTTTTTATTTTTCAAACTTTCTTTACAATAGGTTCTCATGATTTAAATACTGATGATTTCTTAGAAAATAACGAGATTAATTCTTATCCTGCTTCGGAATCTGTTGTTTCTCGACAGCAATATATAACAAATATCATATCATTAGAACAATCATCAACAATTCGTCCTATTGGTATAGCAGAACCATTACGTCGTATTTCAACTGATCTTATTCGAGTACTCAAGACTAACGATAATAATGATGAAAAAACTTTAAATAAAAGCATTCAAGTTAATACCGTGATCCGACGATGTGATCGTTGTGCTGAATTACCACTGTCAAGCTTACCACTTAGAAAAGCTAGAAATTTGTCAACTTCATCATCTCCAGTGACTGATAATAGTTCAAGTTGTGAAGAAGATGATATTATGGAATTTCCTCCACCTAATTTAGATCGATTACGTAAAAGACGTGCAACACAAGTAGCAAAAACGATTATTAATCAAATGGGTATACAACCACGATTATCATCAATTGATGAATTTACATTACCAATAGGACTACTACCAAAGCAACGTCAACATTCACCAGCTTCATCACCAGTTTCCGTGCGATGTTCAGTAAAAGTATCACGATCACCTTCACTTGAATCTACATGTAAATGTGAAAATAGTCATAAAGAATTTTCGGAACTTTCTAAACAAATTTCGTCATTATTAACATCACATGATGATTGAAAATTAAATAAGAATGAATATAGTACGATTATAATTTCTTAAAATTTAGTTGTTGCTTCACCATGAAGTCAAAAACAAATAACAATGTTTTTTTCTTGTGGTATAAAATATTTTTAATGTTTTTCTAGCCTGTACTTACTCTTTTTTTGTCTGCTTATTAAAAGAAAGTATATGTTTATTACAAATTTCATATATTGATGATTGTGCCAATAATAGGATTGATAGTATAACAAGTTAAGATTTTTCACAATTTTCATTGATTTGTTTAAATAACTACGAAATAATCACGATTTATCATCAAAATCGAGCCAGTTTTGATCACATATGTAGACATAAATGACTTCCAAATACGTGATCAATCACAAAGGATGATCTTAATCTCTTTATTCTTTGCAAATATGTATAAAATAATCAAATTTGTAATTTATCTATTAACTACGTTCGATACATATCTACTTCTCTTTTTTTTTGACAAAAGCAAAAAAGAATCAATAGAAACATCAATATTCTTCATAAATATTAATTACGTATGTGTCATAAAAAAAAGACATTTAACGTATTTCGAACACTTGATTTCAAACTACTTTATTAAATGATATGAAAATAATTATATAATTAATAATAAATAATATCAAATATTGAATTTGGATGTATTTTTGTTTCTGATATTTTGTTCAGAAAACAAGATGATAAAGTGATAGGTGGATAACTTCAATTCTTTTTTTATGCCAATATTAAAATTGACAAAAAAAAAGGAAAACAATGTACGATCTGCTTCTGTTTTGGATTATCGCTAATCTGAAGAGACTATTTTCAATAATCAAACGTCATTTACATTAAATATCAATAAATTATGAAAGAAAAATGAAAAAGCACTATCAAAATTATTAACAACTTTTCTGTGAAGACAAGATTATTATTTCCTCATTAACAATTTTCCTTCGACTTCTAAAGAATTCTTTCCGAATAAACAAATATGATGCGTCATCGATTGTGTGAGAGTGTGATATAGTACTTTATACGATCGTCATTTACGTCAAGAATCGGCATCGTCTGAAACAAATATCTTAAAGTTTCATTTCGACATCATATTATGATGAATAATTCATACTTTTTGTTCAGTTCGATCAAGCAACGTCACATCCATCATATTTTCATGTTCTAGTGAGTCTACTAATATTTGGAATATTTTTCTCTGATTATTATACACTGAAAATTTTTTTTTCGTCTCTTCATATAAGTATCGCTTTACTTATCCTGAACTACTTTACAAGTTGATTGCTAGCTTTCATTAAGCTCCAAACGATGCAATGAAATAGAACTTTTGAAAATAAATACCGATTGCGTTTCATTGTGATCAAGGTCGATCTAAATATTAAACAAATGATATAAGCTATTTATTTTTTACGGTTCAATTTCATCTTTCCTTCGATTACTAGAAGGTACAACGTATAATATGACTCCTTTTACTTTTAATTGTTAGCTAGGAAATGTTTCTTGAATTTAAATCCTATTCTCCCTAATATTTAAAAAGAAACAGTTCTATTCTTTGCCTATTTCAATAATCCTATACAAGTTGGTTTTTTCTCAATATGCTCGACATATATGCTACTCAATCTTTGCAAGAAAAACTTCGTCAACATCTATGATTGCATAGATTTCTCTACAAAAACGATTATATGAATCTAATGTATTTTATCTGTGAAAACTAGCTTTTCAGTCACGTCAAAAACATCGATCTAGATAGCTGTGCCATTAAATTACTTACTATTTATAGATGATAACTTATGATAAGAATATGACTGCAGACAGTAATCGTATTTTACATGTAAATACACCATATACGATCGTACAAATGTTGTAATTTAACCGTACACGACTAATTTAACAAAGCATGTGTATAGATACGGTACATTTACTACTGGTAGACGATAACCGTAACAAAGTATCAGAGTTCACTTGTCTTTCAATGTAAGATATCAAAGGTAATAAATTTTCTTTCCTACTACAATTCCTATGCGTCATTTGATTATAATGAAATAAGTCTCCTTTTTCCATATAAGAACAAGTATACTTTCTGTACAGATGACACTAGCATACAAATATCGTGTAAAATTAATAATTACTAATTTTATATAAAAATCGAATTATGAAATTCTCTTGAAAGAATAATGCTCAATTATGAATAAGATATAGTCTTATTCACATTATTTAAGAAATCAATTTCTTAACGTAAACTAACCAATAGAGAAAAGGAAGAAATTTCGTAAAAAATGGATATATTTATTTTCATGAAATAAGAGAGAGGTGCTAATTTTTTTCTCATCGAACAAACGAATTTTATCACTACGAATCAATATTGACATTATTAAATATTCGAAAATTTGATTTTCATTTTAGATAACAAAAAAAAAAATACAAAAATGGTTTTCATGAAGCCTGAAAGTGCTCTACGACGAGCTGATGGTAAATTAATATTGTTTATATTTAAATTATTAATAACTATTTTTATTTTATTATCTAAAATTTAGAATTAATTGATGTTGGTAGAAAACAACGTGCTTTGGAAACACTCTTTGAAGTTATTACATCACGTCGTCATCGAACATGGACGAAAACACATGAACCATTAATGGAAAAATTTTTGGATTTATGTGTTGAATTAAAAAAAAGTCAATTAGCTAAAGATGGTCTTCATCAATATAAAACAATTTCACAAACGGTTAGAATTTCATTGTTTATTGAGTTACAAAAACAAAAAATACGAAATCATTTTTATTTTTCATTAGGTATCGGTTAAATCACTTGAAGATGTTATCATGAAATTTCTCAAACAAGGTGAACAACGATGTTTAAATGCTCGACAAGAAGCTACAAATGCTCTTGTGGATATTGATGATTTAGAAGTTCTACAAACACCTGAAAGGTATTTAAAAATGAATATATTTTTGTTCATAGGACCAGTTATATATCTTATTGAAAATAGTGCAAAAGTTTTCTCATCTAACGGTAGATTTTGACCAAAGACTCATTCACAACATTTAGAATGCTCATAGTAGATTTTATAGTAGTGTTCATGTTGAATAATTTATTTTTGATTGTCTAAAAATATTTCGGAATCTCTATTTCTGTTTTATATATTACATTTGAGAAAAAATATCTTTGTTATATACGAGCTTCTCGTGCTATTAACTTTTATACAATTCGATATAGTTTTAAATAAAAAAAAAATATAATTCGGATTGGACATATTGAGGCAAGTAATAACGTCAAAATAGATAGCTACTAGATGAACTTATTTTAATATATATAAACATAAGGCAACAAATTTTCCGAAACGTTAATTTTTAATGTCATTCTTATTCCCCTGAGAAATAGAATAAAAAAAAAACGTTCCTTGAGGATACTATTTTCTATGTTTAGATATGAACTAGAGTTGTAACCGGTCGGTCGGAAAATTCTATTGATATGTCATTTTTTATTAATAAAATATGTAGAGAGAACGTTTGAATACATTTATGAAAATAACCAAACAGTTTTATAATTTTCAAGATTTCGACTTTTGCTATGGAGTAAATGGTTCTTTTATCTATGTTGTACAGAGAACCATCGTATATTTCATTTTTGAAAAAACTTTAGTGTAACAAGGTAAATGAGTGTTCTTTTCGAAGATATTTCTATTAATCGATTGAAAATGATTAGATTCTACTTTCATGTGTACATGTACCGACTGCTAGGTTGTCAATCATAATTAATATTTTTCTTAGTTGTCTAGAGTGATGACTTTGATATGTTGAGTTAAAATCTATTTGACATTTTCTGCTTGAATTCTGAAGAAATTGTCTTATTAGTTTTATTGTTATTCAGAAGACTTGAACTTGATCATTATAGATTTCCATCTAAAATTGTGAATCGATGCCTTGATTAATAGTGATGACTGATGTTTTGTTTGATAACGTCTTTTTTAAATTTTGTGAAATTCGAGAAGTTTTGAGAAGAAAAAATCAAATCGTAGAGGATGTTCTGATCACAAACTAAATAACCAAATTCATGAAATGATTGATTTTAAATATCGAAAATTTTCAAAACTTCATTGTCTATTTTTGTTTCGCAATAGAATCAAGATACATTTCTATTTTTCATCTCATTTACCAATTAAAATTCTTTATTTCGATTAATAATAATTTTGTCCTTTTATCTTTTTTCTATACAGTCTTCTACTCAGTGCAGTCAGTGGTGAATCACAACAAGATCGTACTGATCGTGATATGCTTGCACCATGGTTAAAATTCGTCTGGGAATCTTATAAACAATGTCTAGATTTATTAAAAAATAATAATCGTGTTGAAAAAATCTATCAAGAAGTTGCACGAATGGGTTTTCGTTTTTGTCAACAATATAATCGTCGACCTGAATTTCGAAAATTATGTGATACAATTCGTACACATTTTACACAATCACAAAAATATTCACAACAACTGTATAGTGTGAATTTTCAATTACCAGAAACACAAGCACTTCATTTAGAAACACGTTTAGTTCAACTTGATACAGCAATTGCAATGGAATTATGGCAGGTAGTTTATGCAACAAAAAAAACATTTATAAAAAGAAAAGCTGTTAGCATAATTTCTGTAGGATTAAAATGTGAAATGTGATATAGCTGTTCTTACGAATTACAGGGAAATTACTTTATTCTATCTATTTTGGAACACATTCTTTCATTATTCTTGTCCAGTGATACAATTAAGAAGTGTAAAATTCGACAAAAGGCTCTACTCTATCAAGAACGTAGGATAGAAGTGCAGTTGTATCTCGACTAAGTACGTAACAAAGAGAATAATGATGGATGTTACTTGATGATACATAAGGCTCTTTTTCACTTCAAAACTCTGAGAAGGAACGACTTTCTGAGTCAGGATATGGGTGTGAATCTGCTCTTGAAAGTCACTCACACCTACAAAAATCGATATAACCTTTCATAATTTTTTTTGTATTTAAGCAATCGTAGTACACTTTTACCGCGGATCTACATTTGCAATGAAGTATGTATGCACAAATATAAAGGTGTCCAGCGAATAGGATAGCTAAGATCCGATGGCACGAAGATTTTTATTTTCTACTGTGCGATATTTGATTGTGTATTAACAGCATTTGTGACAGAGAGGACCGACATTGCTAAGGCGTCTATGAGAAGTTTAAATATCTAATCTTATTCTTCAACACTTCTACTTGATTGTGTTTCATAAGATTAATTGTTATTTTTAGGAAGCTTTTAAAGCAGTTGAAGATATTCATGCATTCACAACAATATCGAAAAAAACACCAAGACCACAACAATTAGCATCTTATTATAATAAAGTGGCACTCGTTTTTTGGAAAGCAGGCAATTATGTATTTCATGCAACAACTGTTCTTAAATTATATGTTTTACATAAAGAACAAAAAAAAAATATTACACATGCTGAATTAAGTCGTTTATCAACAAAAGCTTGTAAGTTATTTAACTATTGAAGATTTTCTTTGTTTTAATCAATTATATTTTTAGTATTATCTATACTTTCAATTCCATTACCAACACCACGAACACAAATTGATGAACATTTAGAAACGGATGAAACAATTAATGAAAAACAAAAACGTTTAACAAGTTTATTATCATTACAACAAATTCCAACACGTGCAAGTCTTATACATGATATGATTAAACAAGGTGTTTTAAATTTTGTTTATCCTGAATTAAAAAATATGTATGAATGGTTAGAAGTTGAATTTAATCCATTAAAATTATCAGCTAAAATGGAAGAAAGTATTCAATTTGTTGAAAAACTTGCTCAACCTGAATATTCACAATATATGCCAGCATTACGTGATGTAACTGTTGTTCGTTTACTTCAACAAATTTCACAAGTTTATCAAACAATTGAATTAAAACGTTTTATTGATCTTGCACCACCTATGGATAAACATCGATTAGAAAAAATTATTGTTAATGCTGCAAAAAATAATGATGTTCAAGTTCGAATTGAACATAAATCAAAAGCATTAACATTTGGTACTGATTTAAGTGTTTCAAATGGACAATCAACAACAAGTGAAACTGGTCTAAAAACAAATATTATTCAAAAAATGCCAAATGAGCAAATACGTAATCAACTTCTATCAATATCACGTGCACTTTACGCGTCAATGGAAATTATTAATGAAAAACCTAATAAAGAACGTAATGATAAATTAAGACGAGAAATTGCTCAAACTTATTATCGAGATGAATTAACACAACGTAAAGAAATATTAAAACGACGAGAACTTATTGAACGTTATAAAGAAGAAAAAGAAAAAGAATCAATATCAAAGGTAAGATAAAAACAATATCACCGGTTTATAATTTGTTCGATATGCCTATGATCTATTGTTTTCTCTTTCGTTTTAAAATTAGATCAGACAAGCAGAAATTGTTTCTCGACATCAACAAGATGAACGTGAAAAAGAAGATAAGAGTCGTCGTGAAGCTGATCAAAAACGTCGTCTTGCTGAAGCAGCATTAGAACGTGAAAAAGAAGAACATCGTTTTAATATGAAAATTGCTATTGATAAATTACGAGAATCTGAAATAGGTCGTAAAATAATTGAACTTATTGGTGAAGAAGAATTATATAAATATGATCCTGAATCATTAAATTCTTTACATATTGATGCTGTTATAAAATATAGTCGAGAACAAAAAGAAAAATTAAAAGTTCAATATAAAAAAGTTGATTTTCTTATTCGTGCATTACATGAAGCAGAAGTTCCTTTAATGCAAAAACAAAATGAAGATGAATTACGACAACGTTATCAAATTCAACTTGCTGAACGTGAACGTGCTATTGAACGACGTGAACGTCTTATACGTATGGACAATGATAAAAAAGATTTTCTTCAATCAATACGTGGACAAAGACATGAAGATTTTATTTTACATATGCAAGCATTTGAACAACGTTTAAATGTAGCACGTCAACAACGTTTAGAACAATTACGTCGTGAACATATTGAAAAGAAAAAACAAGATTGGAGAAAACAAAAACAATTAGAAAAACAACAAAAACAAAATGAAAAACAACGAAAAATTCAAGCTGAAATAGAACGTCAAAAAAATGAACGTTTAGAAAAAATACGTGCAGATGCTGATGAAAGAAATAAAAAATTAGCTGAACAAACTAGAAAACAACGTGAACGTGAAGAAGAAATTGAAAAAAAATTACAAGAAGAACGAGAAGCTTCAAGAAAGACAGTAGCTGAAAATCGTCGTTCAACTACTCATTATCAAGATAAAGATAAAACCGATAGGTTTGTATTTTATTAAAACTTTTATTAATATTTTTTTTTTTTTTATTTTGTAAAAATATTTTTTCAGTGGACCATGGCGACGTACACCACGTGATAATGAGAGTACTCCACCATCATATGCTGATTCGAAGGATAGCCGGCGTAATCGAAATGAAGATCAACGGTAAAAATTAGAAATTGTTTTCTTTTTTTCTTATAAGACTATATTATCAATTTTAGTCCAAGGGGTAATGATCGACGTTTAGATGAACCATCATTAAATAAAGGCTCATCAAGTGATTCATGGAAATCAAAACCAAGATCCGATCAACAAAATCGTGATGATAGACGAGGATTACCATCATCACAACAACAACAACAACAACAACAACAATCATCACCATCATCATCAGAGCGATGGACAGAACGAAATTCTGAAGCAGGAGGCAAATGGCAAACTGTGGAAAAGAAACGTCCTAATCAGTAAGAGTTTTAAACAATTTCTTCAATTGAATGTTTAATTTTCTTTTTGGTGAAACACAATCTAAAAGGGGATGTTGAAATAAATAGAATAGAAATTTGCATCTCTCGCACAGTGGACAGCTACTCAATAAAATCAATTTCTGTAACCTATTAAATTTCCAATCGAAAATACGAACTCAAATATATATACATTTTAAAACTCCTACATTGATTGTTTCATTCTAACCATAATTCATAGGTAGTTTCGAACTGTGAAGTTCTAATCATGAAATGTTGATAACTCATGAAGGAATTTCTCTAGAAATTAAATTGTTTCTAGATCAAGGTTACATTAATTTGATGAGTGTTAGTGAACATAGAAAAAGTCTACAATGGTTTAGTTTTCTAGGCCTCGATTCTTATAATATTGAATTTCTACTGTTTATTTAAACATAATTTCGTAGTCTTCTTGAGATTACGTTGAAAATTGACTTAGAAGGTTCTATTTGAAAATTTGCATAAATAATATTCTTGATCTAACTAATTCGTTTCTGAAATTTTCAGTGTTTTTCTTTGCTTTCGTCGTGAGATACGAATATTTAAAATTTTATTATGTAAAAAAAAAACAAATGTCGTACTTGCATTCGTATTTTACGACAGAAGAAATAGAAAAAAGCTGAAACTTTCAGAATGAATTAGTTTCATTTAGAACATGGCTTGTGTAAAAGCTTCGAGTCGAAATCCCAAAGTCAACTTTTATCATGATCTGAGGGAGACAAAAGGAATTTTGTTGAAAAAATTCACTAAAAAATCTAGTTCTCCGAAATCTTACGAGTAAAAGAGGCTTGATGAACACAGATAATCAGTATCAACTGTCAACCATAATTACACAAAATTCCAAGTTATTAGTTACAATAATTGTAAGAATTGTGTCTGGCTTTCTTTTCTGTTCACTATGTTCCCCTGCTCCGAATCACAGATTTACGTTTCGTTACAATATTTGAAATACTTTCTTATTACATTTTTGAAGAGGAATGCTGAAGAAGTATGTTGCGAAATAGATCAGAATAAAAATATCTTCCTGTAATTAGCAATTACATCATGTTTTTCATTTTAATCCTGCAAAGATGACACTAACAAGTTTTATATTTATTTATTGATTTCATGAATAGATCACGACCTGATAATGATCGTCCATCAAGTCAACGTTCAGGTGAATCATCGTCATCCAGTGGACTTTGGAGATCAAAAGCGCGTACGACAGATGAAGCACGGGATAATCCTCGTGGTGGTGTCTCGAATCCATCTGATAATTGGCGACGAGTGAATGAAAGTAGTAGTTGGCGCACACGAGAAAAACAACGTTTAAATAGGTTTGTTTATTTTTTGAAAAAAAAAATCGATTGATATTCTTAAATAATTAATTTTAGTTGGCGTGCCAATGAAAGCGACGAGGAAAATGAACGTTCTACATCTGATAATCAACCTATGGGCGGTAATCGAGAATAACTAGCCTAGTGAAATAACAAGTGATTCCACACCATCTTCTCTTTTTTTTTAAACATTCTTAATGGGTATCATCTCTTATGTGTGTTTCTCTTACGATATTCACACAGTTATATCTTTTTTTGTTGTTGAAGAAAACAGAAGAAAAAAAACTAAAATAAAATATGATACTTTTTTTCTTTGAAAATAAAGTTTTGTTTTATTTATGGGTAAAAGACAGTTCATATATCTGTTTTAGTTTAGAATAATTTCATAGGTCAGATAATTTATTGAAGAAAATATTTGTTCTATACGTATATGTCAGATTTATTATTTAATCGCTTATTATTAAGTTTTATTAATGTTAAAAATCGACTTGAATCTCTATTAAATTTATGTTCTATTAATGAATATCGATTAGATATAAAAGAAATTCAAATATATATAAGATCTGTATCAAGTTTAATTGATAATCTTCAATATGAATTCAAAATAAATGATAATTTGAAACTGTTTTCAAATCGTTCTTTATGTAAAAATGGTTGGACATGGAAAAAAATTCAACAATTAAATAATGAAGAACAATTTTTTAACTTAGAATTACTAGCTCTATTACGTCTACAAATATTAGCTACATGTTTTAATAAATTTGACAAACAAAAGTTTCGTAAACAAACAACAAGTTCTAATATCATGATGAAATTGATTGAAGAGGTGAACAAATCATTGTTTTTTTAAAGATAAAAAGAAGCATGAAGAAAAATATCTAAAATTTATAGTATCATTTTTATTAATATTTCATTTATAGAATGCAGACATTGAACTACTATAAAAATGCTAAGAAGAGACAACTATAGTGTCGGTGTGGGTAAAGAGAAGACCACTGCCCATACTTACATTCTTTTTCTTGATCTGCAGTTGAGTTATTCAAAGTTTATGGAGTATAAGGAAATTTCATCAAAAATACAAATGGTTTTTAAGCGTATTATCTTAATTCATAAACATCTGATATTTGTATGAATATCATATTTTGAAAGAATACTTCACATCCTATTGATTAGTATCAAATTGAAACTTTTATTTTTTATTTCTATTGATTCATATTTATTTAAGAATGTATTTCACTACTATCAGTTATAGACGATAGTTGTTCATGACACATAGAAAATAGTGTTGAAAATCTTCGATTAGTTTATCCTCTTTTAATTGATTGAATATTTAGACTAAACCAACAATCTCATGTGATCATATACATATCAATAAATCTTCATTGTCATTTATTCCACGATATGATCCCAACAAAAACCTTCTTGATCTTCCACAAGAAATTCTTCTTCATATATTTTCTTTTATTTGTCCATGTGAACTTATTAGTAACATAGCTCCAACATGTCGATTATTTGCTAATTTAATTCTCACATGTTGTTATTCTCATCTTGATTTATCAACATTAGCATCTATATATGATGTTCCTCAATTATTTAACCATTTATCATATCTTCAATCAATAAGATTTATTGATTGGAAAAATGATATAAGTATTTTAACATGGTCTATATAGTTTGCTATACTTTCGAGAAAATCATCGAATCTTAAAAAAATACATTTTCAAAATGTTTTTATATGTCCAATATTAATTTGTCTTGTAATTGAATATTTTCCTCACTGCTTAGAAACAATTATATTTGATTATCAACAAGATAATAATTATAAAAATTTTGATTTCATTTTATGTTTACTTGGAAATGAAAATTTAAAACTAAGAAGTTTAACAGCTTCATATCAATTAGGAATTACAAATTTTGGTATTTTACAACTTGTTAAGAATCTTAATATATTAGTTGAACTTAACTTAGTTAATATTAATGCAATAAATGATCAGTAAGAAAGATCATTTTTTGCTAAAAAAAATTTTATTTTATTTTCATAGATCGATTAAAATTTTGTGCGATAAACATTATGTTTATTTAGAAACTCTAAGAATTGATGGTGCACAATTAACAGATAGAGCTTTAGATTTTATAGCACAATGTCATCAATTACGAAAACTTATGATTGAATTTTGTACAAATATGACAGATGCAAATTTTTCTATATTCCAAGTAAGATTGTAATATTCAAAAAAAAAAATAATGATTCAAATTCTTTAAAACTAAATAGAATTTTCATAAACTTGAACAATTATATTTATCAACATTAAATAATATATCATCGAAATCATTTCAATTATTATTTAATAAAAATTGTACTTTTAAATATTTACATAGTCTAACATTAGGTGAATGTCATATGATTGATGATAATTGTGTTCGGTTGATTGTTCAATGGTAAAAATAACGAATGGACCATAATGAATTGAACTTATTGTACATGCAATGTTTCAATTATTGACTATTAATATACATATATATCAAAAGAAGGAGAATTTCAAGCTCTACGAAACTGTATATTTCACTTTTACCAAAAAATGTTTTTTTTTAATTTCGAGGCAACTCCTATATATCCTAGAGCAGAACTAAAAATAAGCGAAAAAAAAAACGTTTGATATTACTACTTAGAAATTCATTTGAATAGGCTTAACACCGACTCAAATCGATAACATATTATTTATTCGTTCATACAATAAATTCGAGAAAAGGCAATAATAAGAAAACTTATCCTTTCTTGCTGTTCGTCTACTTATATTGATTACATTTTGAATCTTGTATCTTTATGTTTGGTTTGTTATTATTTTGTTCATCTTATGAATATAGAGACTTTATTTTTTTAAAGTGTAAATGATATTTAACATCATACTGCATATATAGACAAATTTTTATTGTGGTCAAAAATGCAATGAAGAAACCGATTTGTAGATGTGACGCAGAAGGCTCCTTGGTCTTACTAGAACTAAATTTTTGATGAGATATTCTGCGTCCTGAAAAATGAGAATGACTGAATGATAATATCTTATAGAATGAGGAGCAAGATGAAGTCACTCGTCTTGTGACGATCTCTGATAGAGAATGGAATTCCGTATTATTTCTGTATTCAGATACGACCTTTGCAACTCCAATTTAACTAAAAAATACTTCATTACATTAAAAAAAAATCACCACAAAGGATATGTTCAACTTCCTAGCAAAGCTTGGATATAAGAAAGTGGATCAACTAAATAGAGGACCGAATTCTTAATCTTTGAATACAAAAATCTTTACTGTCACGATCCTTCATACTTTTGAAAAGCACGAGCAACAATGTGGCGCATTGAGAACATATAAGGTATATAAATATTTGGATTGTCGTGTAAATGCAAAATGGTCTTTTTAAAAGTGAAATTCTTGGTTTTGTAATGCTTAAAGTTCTCGATATTTTTGTTTACAAATCTTTTATATGAATTAAAATGAGAGAAAAATTGTATTCCTAATTAGTTCGATTCATCATGGTTCACCCACTATTTATTTATTTAGTTTTTTTTCAATATTTGTTTTCTAGTTGTCCTCATTTAATTGATTTAACCTGTTCATCAGCATATGGTATTACTGATGAAGGTTTTAATGAAATTGTAACTCATTGTAATCAACTTCGATATTTTACTTTAACAGGTTGTCATCAAATTTATGGTGAAATATTACTTGATGTACCAGAAAAATATTTAAAATCAATAGAATATCTTAACTTAGATAAATGTAATAAAATAGATGATATTATTTTAATTGAGTTATTTCAACGAAAAAAATTCATATCAATTGTTAATTCTTATGGATCATTAATTGAACTTTAGAAATACAAGTTTTTTTTTTATTTGTATCAATTATAATTTAATAAATGTGCAATCATCATTGTGAAGAAAGAAAAAGTATCCTTGTCTTAGTTTCTTTTTTAATTATTGCAAGCCTAAGGTTATTCGTATATGCACAATGTTCAATAGTGTCACGCATGATTGATAATTATGTGTCGTGCCATGTATTGAGAGAAGAAAAATGATGCTTACGTTCAATTGATTGAAGGTATTCATACAGATATACATGGAACATGAATTATATATGAATAAGTGGTGTAATGATACTCAATTCAATACTGATGCAATGCTTATCCAACAAACACCACCATCGTCACCAAATAAAAATTTACAAGATGATTCTGATAATGATTCTCTTACAGATGTATCAAGTATTATTGAAATAAAATCATCATTGATGAATCATGATCAAACATCAAAATATAATAATGCGTCCATGGAATGTAAGTCAACGATGCAAAACGACACTTCAACACATGATCAATATGTACCTGATGATCAATTACTTCAATCATTAGTTAACTATGCAAATAGTTTTAATTTAGACGAAACTTTGTATTCAATAATACATTTAAAAAATCAATCAGATGCTACCAATTCAAATGAACAATCATCAACAAATTATGTACCATCATTATTTGAAAATGATAGATTAAGACAGCATAACTATTGCGAAGATCTAAGACATGACGCTCAATCAACAATGATAATCAAACATGATTCAACTAAATCAATACCCTCTCATTTTTTTTCTCTGAAAAAAAGTGAAGATGACGATAATAATGATAAACATAGTGATGATAATTCAACAGTTATGGATGAATCAAAATTTGATTGGGAATATTTATCTAATCCAATAGATTGTTCGAATAAATCATCAACAAATTTATTTGAAAATTATCAAAAAACGACTAATCTTAATGAGACAAATTCAAATTATATAGAAGATTTTCAAGAACTATCTTCAGCTAGTTCGGCAAATAACATATCATCTTCATCAATTATTATTCGTGTAAAAACTAAAGATCCTGCTATTCAACAAAATAAAGACAATCAATTCTTGCATCCACATACTTCATTAATAAAACCAGTTCCAATTATCATTCGAGAAATTTGTCATAAACCTTCTCCTTGTGATCGATCAATATCAAACCATGATTCACAAACAGTATCAACTGCTGCTAATGAATTTTATCCAATTTCGAAATCAATTATCAAGCCAAAACATAAAATAATCTATAAACCAATACCACTAACACGACATGAACATCATACAGATGAACAATCGAGAAAAATTATTATTGAATACGATCAAATCAATGTTACCGTTAATAAAAATATCAAACAAAGAAAAGAAATCAAACGTGTTAATCCAAATCAATATATTCAAGAATATGGAAATTCATTGTACACAAATGAAGTCTTTCAAAACCTACTAACAAATATTATAGCATAAACTATTCATCCGATTAAATGACTTTCTTACCAATACACAAAGAAATATTTCTCTTTTCAATTATCTTAAATAAATTATATTAACATAGAAATTATATTTATTTTATTCGAAAAATTAGTAAAGAATGACAATTATTTTTAGTATTAGAAAAAAGTTTAGATCAAAGACAAAAAAAATGATGAAATCACAATCATATTTTAAAGAATGAAAACAAATAAATCAAGTTTTTTTTATTAAGAAAAGATGCTTCTGGACTAAAAGTCAATATGGATTAGCTATCGATCTTTCTAAACTTGATTTTTTACCACAAGTATCGGTTTAAAACAATAGAAAATATTAGGTTTTATTTAATTTGACACTGTATAAAAATGTTTACTTTAGCCTTGATAAAAGGTGGGACGTTTGAAAGAGCCGTGACCATTATCGAAACCGTCGAAATAGTAATGGCTGATAGCAACAAATTCAAAAGATAAAGTAACAGTTAAAGAATTCTTGAAGAAATCAAACTTGCAGAGTCTATTTGGTCGCACCCACACTTATACGAGGATATATTAAGAAAATTATTGTTTACATGAAAACATTCTTATGTTGACAATTAGCTAATCAAGTTTTTTACAAACTAGATAATTGGTTTGTCAACAGAAGACAATCCAACAACTTTTTATTCAATTCTTTTTACCATTCAATAAATCTTTCCTTCAACATATGCTCTATATTATGCTTGGTTTTATTTTGTTATATCCTCCAAACGTCTATAGTAATAGGGCATTCCGTTCATTGGAATCACTTTGTAAGTTAGCCATTGTTTTTTTTCTAATACACATAAAAAACTATTTGTCACAAGTCACGACGAAAGCGTTGAAGAGAAAGGTAACCAATTAGAAAACTTCATTGTCTTGCTAATTCTCCATCGAACTTATTACTCTTATCCTTATTTTCAACTTTTTACGTCTTGTTTTTCAAAAATAATTTTCGCAACTTATTAATTTTTTTAGAATTTGTGCCCATAATACTCTCTAAGTTGAAAATAGACAATGCTTTCCTTCCGTCATCATGATGATGTGTCAGCTCTGAGTTAGAAAATAGTAAGAAATAAATAATAGGAAAGAAAATTCTTTTGTAAAAATGAGTTTTTTTGTCGACAACAAAGCATGAAATCATATGAGAGCTCTTTTATAGCATATTCCGAAAAAGTTCTTTATGCTCTCTATACGAAATAAAAGTTTCCATGATCATAGAACCCAATTGTCCCAGTGCACATTCATATGAGTCAGATATGAAGAGATTTTTGTATAATAGAAACATATTCAGTAAAATTCCGTTGTGAATTCATTAAGATGTTCCTTCATCTTTGCACATTCTTCTAGAAATTCAAAACCGTTTTTAGTACAAAACAATGCACTCATAATTGAATCAAATGCTGCTTTTCTCTGAACGATTTCTTTGTAGACAATCGTATTCATTCAAGTTAGCTTTGAGACTAATAACTATGCTAGTGATACATTTCACTGTGAACGAATTCCGTCTACACTATTCAAAATTCAACATAGACAATTGACTTAAATAAGTTTGACAATAAAAATTGGATTTTCGTCTTTTAGCTATTGAAATGGCAAAATATTGTCAGTGACAAATCTTATTCTTCAGAAAAAAAGTGCTATCAAACATTAGACCAAACTGTTACGGATTGTTGACAGCATTGTTTTAAGAACGCTCTTCATAGCAACGATTGTCTCTCTTTTTTTTCAATGACTTCTGAATTTTCCATCTATATTCATCTGATTAGACTTTTCACTATACCGTTTATTTTCACCTGAGTACATCGAAAATAAAAAATAAAAAATAGAAGCAAAGAAACAAAGAAAAAAAAATCAGAAAAGTAATCATACAAAAATAAACAAATGAAACGAAATCAATGAAAATACCATAAAACAAAAAAAATACACTGTTGTTTATTGTTTATTATTTAATATTTTCGAATTTAATGGTATATCAACATCAATCCAATGTAATAAACCTTGATGTGTTCCAATAACAATTGCCATTTTATCTATTGTCCAATGATAATCAAGAAATGATGATGAGATATTATCGAAGGATTCAACTTGTCTCATCTAAATGATATTTTTATTTTTGTCTTAAATAAATCAAAATTAAATAAAAAAAATTTACAGTTAAAAAACGAAAATCATAAATTTTTATTTTTGCCAGACGTGTATCATAAACTGAAATTAAATGATTAGGTGATGCTAAACTACATTTCAATTTTTCTAATTGTCCAAATGCATCTAATATTTCATTTCGAATGGGTTCACTAAATAATGAAATATTTAATCAAATGAAATTTATTGCAGATTTACATACCGACTGGCTCGTTTATCCCAAATAAGTATTTGTTGTCGATGTCGACCAACAATAATATCATTTGTTTTCCATGTACAATCAGCTAAATGTTCTTTTCCATTACAATTTAATGTTAATCCAATTGCTTGATGTTCAAAATCATAAATATTTAATCGATTTTGATAAGCAAGAAGAAGCTAAAAATAAAATCATTGCGAATAAAAAGAAAAACAATAGGATTCAATTGTTTGTATATACAAGATTAGATTCAATAGGATTCCATTTTAATTGATGAAGAACTCCATAATTAGCAAATGTCAATTGATAAGATAAATTATATTGAGATGCATTATAAATTTTGACTGTTCCATTTAAATGACTAATTGCAATTTGATCAGAGGATTCATTATAATCAATTGATGATGGTGTTAAACGTATTGTTTCATCAAGCCACTTGAAAAATAAAAGAACTTAAGAAAAAGAAAATACAATAATAATTAATTTACTTTTAAATTTTGTATAGTAGAACTATCATGTTCAGTCTTATAAATCAATGAACCTTTTTGAGTTCGATTTAATGTTGGTAAAGTCGTTAAACCAACTCTAAATGAAATAATAATGTAGGTGAAGAGAATATTAGAAACCACATTCTTTATGCCCAAAATAAAGAATATCTTATTAGTTGAAAATGTTAATAGTTTTTTTTAAGCCTTTCTACGGTACACCATAACCATTAGTTACTGGAAAATAATTGGACACAATGTATTTTATTATTCAACCTCTTGAGGTTGACTGCAAAAATTCGAAAATATTTGAGTTTGAATCAAAGTTTTCTTTTATTTTCAAATATAGGTTCAACATTTCTTAAGGTTCTTTGGGTTAACAGGTATGAGCCGGCCTTTGAAAGTACCTTATACGTTGTGTTACGAATTTCTTTTTGCATAGAATTAAAGATGGGATTGTTCTCTACATAGTGGCATAAAAATCAAGAGGTTCAGAACAATCATTTAATAATGCTCCTTTAAGAGACTGACAAATGAAGGAAGATTTTTTCAAATTACTTTCCAATAACCAACTAATAAAAAAAAACACAAACACTATTATCTTTGAATCATACTTGATCTGTTTTCGAGATGGTCGATAGATAGTATTCGAAAGCCAACATAAATGATCGATTTGCAAACCAAAATGATTTGTATCCACTGATTCGCATAAAAGTTCATCGTTCTAAATATTTCGACATTAATTAAAAGATCATGAAAAAATTATAAACTTTTTCTATGTGAATTATCGATGAAATACAATAGATATTTTTAAAGTTCATAAAAAAAAATTTGATTTGTACTTTTAACAATTATCGAATAACATTGTAAATACAAGAGACATGAAGTCAAATCAATAACTTACATTGAGATTAATTTGTCCAAACGTAAAACCATCAGATGTATTGTAACAAAATAGACGAGAAGCTGAATGAATATTCGAAAGAAAAAATCGACGATAAACCCAATTGTTTGTTAGTGTTACATCTGATTCCATTTTAAAATAACTAAATATCTACAATTCAATATTATTCTCTTTTCATGTATTCAAATACAAACGTGTGCATATTAAAGAATGGCTTCTGGAGTATTTCTTGAATACTTAAATAGACTTTTAATCAATTTCAGCAAATCTTGATTTTAAAAATTTATCTTTCGATGTGATTCATTTCTATTTGCTTATGGATATTCTTTCTCTTTTTCATCTTCCTGGTTCTTAAAGAGACATAACCGATTAGATTAAGACTTTTTTCGAGAAAACTTGGGTTTTCCATAAATTGTATGCAGATTCATTACGATTTCCATCAAACTTTATTCGATAAACCTGAGATTTTTTTGAACATACCTTTGGCTAAATCTCAGACGTATTTTTGAACATTTTCGAAAGCGTGATTTTCTTTAAAGAGGCGAATACGTAAAAGTTCAGAACCCTATAAATCTAGATAGGAAGCCAAAAATGAAAACGATCAGTTTCGCTTGTGGGGGATATTTCTAAGTATTTGCGTTAGAGATTTCAACTCGATCAGGTAAAGCTAGAGGTAGGTCGTTAGCAAGCACGATTGAGAAAGTTTCTGTTGTACATTATGCTAAGTAAAAGAAAAGAATTTTAATGCAATTACAATGAAAAAAACTCTTAAGTTCAGTAATTCGCTAACAGTATGCCGTTTAGAGTCGTTGACCTGTTAATAAACAAGATTTAAACTCAAAAAACGACAAAATCGAAGATGAATTCGTTCATTTCATAAAAAAAGAGAAAATGTAAATGAAAAACTAAGAATGTAAAGCAAAAATAAATTACGGAAAACATTGTTTTTGAAAGCTGCGATAAACAGATTGCTCCTTGGTCTCATATGTAAAAAAAAAAGTTATAAATACTTAGGTAAATAAAACTATGGGCTTTGGTAGAAAATAGAAAGACAAATCTTTAAAAAGAATTTGCTGAAATTATTGAAAAGATGTTCGAATGATTCCAAAAAATCTTGAAACGGTCATTCTTTATAGGACACTCGTTACTTCAAAAACAAACTTTTGAATAAATAAAAAACCTAAAATAGAAACATGTATCAAGAAGACAGTAATATTGTACTTATTTCAATAGTTGATTATTTGTATCAAGAAATAAAATGAATTAAATTTGAATAATCATGCATGATGATGATGACAAGCAATATAGAATACTGATACTGACAGTTGATCACAAAAAAAAAAGAAACAATGTTTGATTTTCCCTGATGATATCGAAAGAAAGGTTTTCAGAAAAAAATAAGACAAGTACTTCAATATGACACTTTTTAATAATATGCATATGAAATAGGCGAGAATCAAGCGAGCAACAAGAATTCAAAAATATTATTGGTATATACGGAAGCAAATCTTTTAATAGAAGGGACATCTATCGTTATTTGTCGCATGTAAAAAATGTGTATTACTATTTCTCAATGATCGAACAAGAAGAGTCATTTTAGAATGGTTGTACAGTGCCCGCGCGAAGGATCTAATATTATGGGGGTATATGGCGAATTGGGACGGAGGCGTAAAGGAGTGTTTTCAGGAGAAAACTGAAAATTTTGGATTATTCGAGGGTGGGGGAGGGGGAGGTACACTCCTCTACACTCCCCGCTCGTGCGGGGCCTATGGTTACACCTTCGTCTTTCATGCAAATATATGAATGCAACACCAATATCAAAATCAGTATTCAATGTTTTGTAGAATAGTTGATTCAAATGATCCATCACCAGTCAATATTCTTGCTCCACATTATTCAAGACTTTTGGCTGAACAAAATTGATTTTAATTTTCTGACAAGATTCTTGCATTCTCGTGTATGGTTCTATGTTTTGTTCTGAATCTGATATCTTTATTACAACAAAGGAAAAAAAAGATAAATGATGAAAGAAAATGATTTATTTACATAAAACATACATGCCTATCATTATAATTCATCATCTTTATATTGGTCAACTGTTGAAATCCATAGTGATAGGACATACACCACAATCAGAACTGGTTTTGGTGTCTCAGATTGGTTTTAATTTTGTTGCTGTTTTTGAGATAGTAAAAGAGAGATTATATTAAATAGATAAATGTAGTATGCTTTTTCTGTAAATTCGATTATACATGTCCCATTGAAATGAACTTTTGACACAACATTATATAACAAAACAAGTTCCTCAGGTTAAATGTACTAAATAGAAATGAAAATTTTAAATTATGAAAGAAACATTGTGAAACAACTATATTAGTTTCATTAACTATACGAAATGACTTGTTTCACAAATAGTTTGAAGAGATTTCGTACGTTCTGTTTTAAACAACTTCCAGGTGTCACGTACTTACTCTGAATGTGCCCTTTTTGAAAATATATCAAGAACATATGCATGCGTTAACCTTTTATAATTCCCATAACGGTTCCAGAAGAGCCACTGATACGATAACTACAGTAATAGAGTACCAGCCCTCTCAATATACCAATAGTATAAGCAAATCAACTAGGCGTGCTACCCTTCATACTTGACAGTTTGGTCACTCCAGTAACCAAGAAAGGTAAAGGGTTAAAGATTGATATGTCTTCTTTCAATAACATGTAAGGAACAAAATAAAACTCATTTTATCAGAAACGTGCTACAATAGATTAACACTTCAAAAACGCTGCAAGAGAAACACAATTAAAAGTACATACGATAATACTGTTTCGACGAACTAACCAAATGTAGATAAGTTGTTTTACGAATTTCTAATGCTTTCCAATATACTTAGACATTATACTCGAGAAAATGTTGGATGGATCGAGCTTTATTGTTGATTAAACAGTAGAGAGCATATGATGTACTTTCCATTGTCGTTCAGAATAATAGAAGGATAACTGGACATAATAGTAAACCATAGTGAGACAAAAAGACATTAAAATTGTTCATTATTTTTCATTTCAAACATATACACCTAACTTATTCATTCTTAAGAACATCTGTATGCAGGATAGGCATGGAATGACATCAGAATGGTTCTAAAACACTTTGTTTTAAAAACCATACAGTGTGTATTAAATCTTTTCTTCTATACAGTGAAATATATTTTTTTCGAGGCTAACAATGGCAAGTGTATATTGATTGATAAGATAGAGTAAGATTCAGAGTATTCTCCATAACATCCAAATTGAGAAATAACTATTTCGAAATATTTTCTCTTGTTTAACTTGATCAACAACTTGAAACAAGACATCGATGCTCGAACTCTGCTTCGAGAATGTATTTAAATCTTTCTAATTGGTATGGGATCAATTAAGATCAATGGAAAATATCCATTTGTTATAGTTTTAGCTTCGATTCAGGCAAACATGATTTAAGAGTGAGTGTTGTTCTCAAACCGTATCACTATAGAAACAAAGTGGTTTTCAAACGTATACCAAGTTTTAAAGAATTGCTATTCGGCACAAGAAAACATACATTATAATTATTATGGTTTCATGAAAAGTGAAAATTGTTCTTAGTGTAATTAAAATGAATCGATCAAATATTTTAGATTAGTTTCATTGTAACTATGTTCTTGATTTCTTCGTTGAAAATTTACTTCATAAACACTTATTATTATAAGTATATTTATTTGAAAATAAAATTCGATTTAATACATGAGCAATTGAATAAATTAATAGTTAAAGTCAAGTCGGTTCTGGCATACTTGATCAACAGCTTGATTTATAGTAAAATCAAGTAAACCTATTTCACACAAGTTAGCCATGATATAAAGTTTATTAAGAACAAATTCATTCTAGATCAGAAAAAAAATAAAATTAATGACAATAAACAAAATTAGCCTTAACAAACCTGAAGATCGAAACATTTTTTATGAATACGTTGTGTAACAGATCTATAACAATCATGTTGGGTCAATTTCATACGTTTTTGGATAATCATTTCCAAATAGTTTCCACGATTTAATGACAATGCTATTGAAGCTATTTGATACATACTATTGGAAATTATGTTTCGATCCTAAATGAAACTAATTATGTGGTTTTATTGCGACAAAAACAAAGAATAGTCCAACATACATTGTATAATTGAGCGAGTTCAATTTGTAATTCTTTTTTCTCAATTGAATTCTCTTTAGCAACTGCCAAACGATGCTTAACTATTTCAATACGAACATCTTCAGCACGCACAGCATCTTGCTATATATATAGAAAAAAGAGAAATGCTTATCGGTTGATTGAACTATTTATCTATCTTACTCTCAGTAAATTATTATACCGATTCACAAAAATATTATCTTTGAGTATATTCGATTTTTGTACACTTTGAAATTCACTTACATTATGAAATTTAGCTAAATTCTAAAAGAAAAAAAAAAATTCGAAAACTATCAAAGAATCCTCTTCGCTTACAAGATCTCCGTATTGCATAACATGACTGGTATTTGTTTTCTTTTGGGTTATTATATATTGTTGATATAATGTTTCTTTATCAATTTGTTCAGCATCGGAATCTTCCATCCAAACAACTGAATAAACATCACCTAAATATGTACCGCGTAATAAATCATGGTAACAAGCATATGATGATTCTTGAGCATTTGATGCTGTGGTTCCATAAACATTTATTTTGTCGGATAGAATATCTTCAAGCATTGAACCAGATTCACAAGCTTCAATATAAATAACCATCTAAGATGATTAAATGTATTTCTATTATATTTTTTTTTTGATAAATATAACACACTAACTTGTTTATATTTCTTTTGATTGTACATCGTAGTAATTGTTTGATTGAAGTCTTTAGCATAGAGCTACGAGAAAAGATATAGTGTTTTACGAGTAATGTCCACATATGAAAACATACCACATCAGATGGGAATGCAACTAAACCTATTCAAAAAAGAATTATCATATCTAGATCAAAATCAAAAAAACACTGTAACCTACCAACAGCACCGTGGTCGGTATAATAGATAAAAACATTATCATCGGGGCCACTACAAATGAAGTGATATAAAAGGAATGTACAAAATTATGATAGCTTCTTACCTTTCAAGTACTTTGCCACTACCAACATTTCGCATCGCTTCTTTATTACCAAGCAAAACATTAATAAAATTAGCTGGTGTTACATCCTATTGTAAAATATTATTAAATCAACAAAGACTTAATTCAATGTTACTTTGCCAGTGTAGTCATGAGGTACTCCATGGTAAACATCTTCTCCTTTAGGATGATTAATAACAATACCTTTTGTCGGATTTCTGGAACAAAAAACACCAGAAACGAATTGAAAATATACGTGTTAACAACAGAAGTATTTAACTCACCGCCAATGATGAGCTAAATCATCGTACATCATAACAATAATATTTGAATCTGGAATACCATTTCTATGTAGAATTTGATAAGCATGACATACATCAGCTTGATGACGATAGTTCACCCAATCACGAGAGCCAGCTACAAGTACTGCCCAATTCGCTGCCCAACTAGTACTTATTCCGAATAAGATTAGACTTAGAACAGAGAGTAATAGTTGTCGATGCATTATATTGGTATCTGTGTATTGATTGGATGAGGAAAAAAGAGTGTTAACAAAGGGTCTGAATTACAGATTTATTTATCTTCAGTTTTTTCACGATAATACAAGTCAATAATGGTCTTTTCAATAGTGATATTGCATTTTGTATGTAAGAAAGATAACGCAACTTATTTTTAGACGATCATATCAACAAAAAATAGACATGGGATCAAGTCCACATGTATAAATTGCCGCAAAATCGCATAAGAAAAAATGTAGAATATATGTCTGTACCAAAAAAGTAAGAAAGTCGCATTGAATAGTATTTCACAATTGAAGACAGTTTTGTTTTAAACATTTCTTTGTTCATACGGTTGATGGTGGATCTAATAACAGTCAAAATATCGAACATATATTTTGATTAGTCCTTTAAGATAATGAAAATTTTTTGCAATGATTTATTATCTAACTATCATTTAAAAAATTGTCTAAAGAAATAAGCAACATAACGAAATATTCATTTTCATGACATTCAATAAATCTAATAAACTACTGTTTGAACTCTAAAAAAAGAAAACCTAAGCAGCAACTGACTTAGAATGATCGAAATATTTTATTTGTAATTGTCAGCTGATAATATGTTGACCTACTTAACTATTCTACGAATAAAAGTGACTATGTTCTCTACTTCATTGATTGTTATTGAACCTGAATTACAGAATAATGATATATCAATCAATTAGAATATGATTGACTTATTGATAACTCGATTCAATTCAATGAGATGATATTGTTTGTTCTGATAGGGCTATTTCCTAATTTTGAGGACAAAAATTAAGCCAATTAGTCTGAAAATGTCCGCAATATGGAATACAGAAGTTTACATTGATAACATTTTTATCGCGTTTCCTAATTGCGAACACTTTTTATTTCTTTAATAATTAATTGCTTTAACTGAGAACAATTTATTTTAACGAAGAAAATACATAACAAAAAAAACTTATTCTTCATCACTGCTATCTAAAGCATCTTTTATAATCTTGATGTAACGATGAGAGATGGATCTTAAAATTTTTTGATAAGCATCTAAATCATTATCATGCATGTATAATTTCTTCGCTGACATAAGTTTAATATCACCTTGTATATATTTTCCTTTTCTTGGCCTTGTTGGTCTTTTTTATGCTTGTCAGTGGCGTAGCCAGGAATTTTTGAGTCATGGGCAATTCATCAGCCGAACTATTTTGAGTTACGGGCAGCTAAGGGCAACCGTTATGATTTCAAAAATATGTATGGGCAATAACTGTTCAAGCATTGCATAGCTCAATAAATCCATGGGCAATAACTTTTGAAGCTATGCGCAATTGCCCAATGGCCCTACCCCTGGCTACGCCACTGATAAGGATACACTGTACACACCTTAGTATTATTCTAATCCATATGATGATAAGTGTGTGATTAGGCATGCAATTGATCATGTAGCTACTATTGAGCAGCTTGAAGACGATCAAGAGTAAAGTTCAGATGTATTTGCATATATTATATACCTTAACTCATGAGAGGTTAAAATAATATTTATTATGAATAACGTATTGTTTGAGGTCGCTGTCAAGAGTAAAAGTTTCAATAGATAAAGAGATTAAGCTTTTTGTGAGAAAAAAGCATTTCTGAATCTTTTTTAAAATCCACAGAAGTCCCGAAAAATACGTTGACAACATTCTACGTATGATTTCATCCATGGAAGATCATTAAAGCGAAGTTTTCTTGGAACAAAGTCATCCATAAGTTTATTGCATAGTTTCAAAAGATAACAGTTCTTTTGTCATGTGATCTCTGATACAAAAATAAAAGCGATACAAGTTTTTGTCCGTCAACAAGCAGTGAATAGAACAACACATGGTATAAATGGCAATTTTATCTTAAAGTAAAAAAAAGTACATAGATTTAGAAAGTGAGAAAGTGAGTTACAGAGTTGTCCCTCGTTAAAACCGATTTTAAAAAAATCATGCTGTTTGATTGAAGGTTTAAAAGAATTTGCGTCCGACGCTTTCAAAGTAGCATACGAAAACAATAAATAAAAATCTTAAAAAGCTACTGATACAAATTTATTTAATATTTTTTCAACATTAATTTGGTTGTCAAATAAAGAGATGCTTCAAACTTGATCGAATGTTTTGCTATAATAAGCTTTTTAGAATGCTTTCACAACAGTGTCTTTACCAGTTTCATTTTCCTATTCAACCATACTTAAATAGTCATCAAATAGAATAGTGAGATAAGTTTGAATTGTTAGCTTCGGAGACATTTGCACATGAATGTAACAGTTGCTATGAAAAACTTATCAAAATGCAATTCATCGTAACTTTGCTATCTAACACAGTCATCTATTAGTTTTATTGTACATTTTCACAAAAATTTTAATCCAAACACATTACTATGGCATCTATCATCAGTCCATTGAATACGGTAGCAACACAAAAAACTTATTCAATGGCTGCTATAAGCATGCAAATGTTCACATAATAGATTCAAGAAGTGGAAATTCAGATTTGATTTCTTTTAGTTGTATAATGTGTACCTCTGGTCCAAATGGAAGACACGCAATGACTTGAAATTGAGTCGCAGGCAGTAGTAAGATTTCCTCTTCTTCTTGATAATAAGAATGTTGACTAATGTCTTTGCCACTCCTACTTTCAATGGCAAATAGAGTACGTATACCAGTACCACCAAGAAATTGATCCGATTTCAAAATATTCATTGTCGTTGTACACGATGAGAAACTCCACCAATAGAATTTCTCACCTATGAAATGTTGAGAACTTAAATCAAGTTTCACACCACGATAGACAGTTCCGGGTTTTGATGGTAGACGCGATAGAGCGGTAAGAACAAGTTTTAAATAGAGGAACCACGGTTGGATTAATTGTCGATTAGCAGTGCGTAAGGCTGAATTCAGCACAAAATAGAGACATTTTTGAGACGGTTCCCACTCCATCGTATACAGCATGATTGCAGCGGATTGATCTGATGTTAGACCGTTAGCTGGTAACGCACATTTGGTTTTGACAATACGTACCATTTCGTGTATATCCGGTAGAACATCGAGGAGTGGTAACACTGCTTCTTCGAGTGAAACAAGCGGCATCTTTTCGTAACCTTCAATCGGAAGCTGAACTTGGTGTTTATCTAATGCAAGACTGGTAAAACGCTGACTGGTCATCATTCCATGGTTAGTAATAGTGAGTTGTGTTGCTGAATTTTGAAGTGCTGGAACCAAGCTGTTGTCCACACATCGTGATGCAATAGAGGCTAGTAGTAAAAGGATATTTCTTAGGGTCTACTGTAATGCAATCCACTATTTATGGTGATATTTTTTCCATGATTAGCAAAGTATTTGTTCTTTGTTTTCTCTCGAAATCGTATTTTCATATCTCACAGATTACTGTTATTATTTTTTCTCTTCTTTCCTCATTCAAATGGGGAAAGTAGATTTTCCATTTTTGAATTTAGTTACAACTGAAAGAGCTTTTATGTATTTATCGTTTCCAATTTCGAATACAAAACACAGAAATTGGATTTTATTATCTGCTTATTGGTTCAAGATGCTCTTATTTGCATAGCTCATATCATGATCTGAATTGTCAAGATTTGAAGAGTATTTAGCAAGTCAATTCAGCTGAATAGATCACTTGTGAAGTTAATATATTTTCGTGAGGACTATTCATGAAGAAGGGAAACGGGAAACCTCGAAAAATTTGATGCATTTCAAATAAATTTTACCGGATTTTGGAGCTGGTTCATGATTGGAGCCATTACCAACATTATATTTTTTGGTGAAGTCGAGTGCTTTTTCATACCATCGTTTATTGGCTTTTGGATCACCTTCAATCGAGGCTATTTCGGCAAGTTCAAAGCACACTGTAGCAGATAATGAATTTTCTGAAGAAAGTTCCTTAAACAAACGATAACAATAATTTTTAGCTCGGTTAACATGACCCATATGACGCATTATTGTACTAAATGATATAAGATTAAGTCCTCCAACACACTTTTCCATCATATCGATTCGTTGTAAAAATTCTTTCGAATTCTGCGATTCTGCAGATGCTAATGTCATTCGAATGATCCACATATGATCCTCACCATAATGAACATCGTCAATGTGAAAGTTGGATGCAGCCATAAATAGAACTTCGCCTTCTTGAGGAAATGCACTATACAAGCTAATATCACCAAACGGTTTACGATTAGTTGATCGAGGAGTAGCATTAATTTCAAATAAAACTTGTTTGAACTCACTTGTTGACGATTTCAAACCAGATCGAGCTCGATCACGACTTAAACATGTTGTAAAAAATGATTTAACAGTAATAGTTTTGCCTACTAATGTTTTGAAATAAATGACATCCTTGTCGGGTAGTAATTGTCCTCGAAAAACTCTTATGACCGATTGACATTGACACTGTTTCAATTGTTGATAAATATCAACAATTAGAAAACGAAAAAGATAGATCAAACGAATATTTTCTTCTCGAAGAATCTTGCTCAATATTCTATATACGAAAGATTGTCTTGTATACCACCAAATTGCACGTTCAGATGCATAAGTTTGTTGAAATTCTTGAATTAATTCAAGTTCATGTTGATCATCTCTGTATTTATTCTGACAAAATGAGATGCATTCAGCAATATCTGCTTGGCTTGATTCGATGCGAATGAAATACTCGAGAAATGCAATCGGATTATCAATGGGATCATCGATTACAGTACAATATTTTGTACTTTTCGAAGATGTTGCTTCTGCTATTGTGATAGCTTCTCTATCGGATTGAATTCGTTCTATAATTTCGGCGAGTTTGTCAGCAACAATTTTAACCTAGAAAGATTTCATTAGATGAATTCAATCTAGAACGAAGAAACTAAAATATGTAATCTGTCTTTTACCTTGTTAAATGATGTTGCCCATTGTTTGTGCAGTGTCGTATTCCCACAATAGATATAGATCGATCTAATTTGAGGAATTTGGTGAATTTGTGGAACTATTTTTTTTCCCAATTGACCACTGACGATAAATACAATTCGATCGTCCGACAACATGGACACAATATACTTATAACATTCTTCTTGATTTTCAAATGTCGAAAGATTTTTGTCCAATTTACGTAAATGTTGTTGAACAGCTCGATTATTGTCATTAGCATTTACTTGAGCATCAAGCCAAAGAATACGAAATGTTCGAATAGTATTATCGAACATAGAATCTTTCTTACCCTGCACCTGACCCATATTTTATTCGAAATCAAATCAATCATTCGTTAAATGATTCATAAATTCATTCATCATACACTTCTAACTTGAATTTTGTAGCGTTGACTATATGTTCTCAGTCATTATAGAGGCGTCGATCCGCTCCTGATGGTAAGCAAAACAAAGTCGAGAGAACACATAAAAATAAATATTCATGCATACTTCGTCTTTAATCAACTGCTTATTGGTAGTTTTCAACAATGAAGTAAAAAGGAGAAAAATAAAGTATATAGTTCCAAGAAATGTGACGAAAGAAAATGTACGACGTGATGAAAAAGGAAAGAGTATAGTGGACAGCCAGGCGTCTAAATCTATTTTCGAGGTTTGAAACTATATTATAGCTAGCATTGAAGCTACTATGGTACTGAATTTAAGCATATTTTGTATGTTGCTTTATAACAGATGTCTATAAAGCAACAGGCACCACAAAGTACATTAAGTCGGTGAATATCGTTCATAGGACCATATAAGTAAAATACATATCGTAAATTGAGAATTTAGTTATATTCATTAGCTGTTGTGTAGGTTTACAGTCTTATGTATTTACTATATATTAGAGGCCATTTCGACTTCTTGAAATTCTTTAGCCTACAACAAAAGCAAAAACTTACACTCAATATCGTAAAAGAAAATAACCACTAGTTAATGATGAAGTTATTTCCCTGGAACTTTAATTCAAGTTTTGATTTGTTATATGGTAGAGCATATCATTATCTATTTTCAGTGAATACACAAAGATACGCGTGTAAACTCTTGTTAAGATTTAGCGTCTTAAATATAGCCTTTTAAAATGTTTTGGCAATTTTTATAAAATAATTACACATATTTCTAGTCTATCAAGTTCCGAATACATAAATAAAGAGCAAATGTACACCAATTTCATATTTTATATCGACCATATTATTTTAAAATTATTGTTTGACTCTTTTTTAGAAATTAAATATCTGAAAAATCATGTGCAAGTTCTTTTATAAGATGTCCACCACGGGTAAAAATCTTTCCCTCTTTATCTTTTTATGCTGTCAAGCATTGAATTCAATATATTGCTAAGTAGAGATATGACACAAAAGTTTTATTTCAGTGTTGCTGTAGAGATCACACTAATAAAACTCTCATTCACATCTTTATTCAGTAATAAACTTCATCTCAAGTATGGCAGCATAAAAAGACAGATTGTGAAAAGACATTTGTGCCAAGGTTTAAAATGATCTGTTTCATATTTTCATAACTTTTTCGTTCGTTAAAACACACCGAGTTGCATAATCATTCTAAGTTTCTTTCTAGACAGATAAAATTAGTGAAAATGAATAGTTTTCGTAGTAAGTGCTAACAAAAATTGTAAAATATATCATGAATATCGAGAAATTTAGGTTTTAAGCAGAACTTTACAAATATGAAATATTCGAAAACTCATTTTAATACGTTTCAGGACATATTATGGAACCATTTCAAACTTCGCATAATATCTATAAAAATTTTCTACAGCATACTAGATAGATATTGCTAAAACCTGTGAAATACTATAAACTGACCAGAAGTGTTTTTGTGATTTCGTTCATTTTGTGAATTTACATGTTACAACTAGACTTCCATCAAAGCTGAACAAATTGACTTTGATGAATTTGCTCTACTATTTATTGACTCGGGTTACGACATATTTTCTCCGTCCTCCTCTGTATATTTTCAAAGTATTATTTGATTCATAAATAAAAAAGTAATAAAAGGAGCTCTATTGTCTTTATAAGCATTTACCTAGCTAAAACTATTAACTGAGCTCAATTGTTCTTTGTGACTAACATCAGCCAATTAGATCATAAATGACGTGGTATCCTCGAGAAAAAATGCAATTATGGAATCAATCTTCATTATAGATTATATGACTTTTTAAAAACTTTGGATTATCGAATATGTTTGAATTTGTCCCTCTTATATGCAAAACTCTACTTCTTCTCACTTGTATGCAGCATCCGCTTGCTAACTTTTTTATTATTTGCTAGCAAAAGAGTTTTTCCAAATCATAAACTACTAAAACACATATTTTTTCGAAAAATGTTTGACATACGTATATGTCAGCTTCACTATAACTAAAAAGTCAACTTTTGCTTATAAGAATTAAGTTTTTATATTTAGGTAATTTGCACATTAGGATGAATATTCAATGAAAACAATAAAATGAGGTACTAATTTTCACTCTTCTCATTTTTGTGTCTGCAAGGGTTCAAAATTCGGAAAAAAATTATTCGTGATAACTTGCTTTAGCTCCTTGAAGAATAATTTATTACATGAAAGAAAAACATTATAATGGAACAACTACTTTTCATTGTACTAAATTACAATTTTCGAAAACCGAAAACTTCATTTGCCAGGAATATTCAGAGTAAAAGAGACTGTATAACCGCAGGTTATCAGTATGAAATGTCAGCTGTATGTACGCAATATATTAAGTTAATAGCTGCAATCAGTAAAAGAATTGCTTCTAACTCCTTTTTGCTGTCCACTCATCGAGCGAAAAACCTTGAAAAACTTCATTTAAATGGTTGTTTTTAGACCTTTCATCAAAAAAAATTCATAAATTTAATTATTCGGAAAAGACATTTGATCATTTTCATTCCATGACCTTGATACTTTGGGAAATATTTATATCACTATATTAGTTTCATTAATTTTTTATCACTTCATTGCATGACTTCTATTGTTTAACAGAAAATCAAAGTTTTCCAATTAATTTCATACTAATTTTCTTTGAATCTTCAAATTTTTACAAAGTATCAAGTAATACTAAATTAAGCTTATCTACATGTTTAACCTTATACATACCAGTGTTACAAAAATGGAATGCTTAAGCATAAGAAGAATATGGTGCAATGCTTTTTCTAGTACAGGTTGTTATATTTTACATAGTAAATATGGATTACTTTATAGTGGATATAGAAAAGTTGAACTTTTCAAAAAGCCAATTCACATCTTCTTGAAGAAGACAGAACCAGGAATTTCTGAAAAGTTGAGGTACGTTAGCCCACCTGTGCCTTCTGAAGATTCAGGTTGAAAAAATACTGCACAATCATCACTTCATGTTTTGAACGACACGACTTTGATGACAATATAAAATTTTTATTGGCGTAATTATCATGTGGTTTTAATCATTGTCATGGCATGAAAATAATGTAGAATTCATCATTTTTCATCAGTGAAAATTTTGAAAATCCTCAATAGCATTGAAAAGCATGCAGTTCTTTGTCTGTTCCATCATCAAACAGCCATTTTTTATAAATTTCGGTCATCATTTCTCTGAGGGAAAAATTTCATTAAAATGATGCAAAATACATGATCTTTTGCATCCTTTTACTTCATGTGTAAATCTGCAGAGTTTTTAATTATTAGAGTACCTATCATAATCTGTCTACTAGGAGTAAAATTTAAAGTGAAAGCTTCTCACCATCATTCATGTGTACTGATGCCTTACAATTGATGTCATCGCTGAATCAAAAAATTCTCTTCGTTCTCTTTGTTTTTACCATAAAAACAATTCCATCATGTATCATATATCGAATGCATTCGAAGTTTTTCCTTTCTGAAACAACAATACTTTTAAAATTGATAATAAAATCCATAATGATGTGGTTTTTGTTTGATTTCAATTTCAATAACTACATAGTATGTATTTCATGAACTATTTTTATCTTATAAAATCTTGACAGATAACTTTATTTTCTATTCTCACTCGTTGTTATATGTTCTACGGATTTATCTACTACTTGAATGGATGAAAGTATAATAGATAATTTCAAATGAAAAATATTTTTTTTAAATATTCTGTTTTATTTTATTTCATAACTACAATAAATCTTATTCTTTGTAATCTTAGTTTGAGAAAGATGATTGCAGACAGAATTATCGTTATCAAATGAAAACTGTCTTAAAAGTAAATGGTCTGTTTCTGTTATCTATGAAAAACTTGAGACGTATAAGTCTTGATCGTGAGAAGTGAATCAAAATTGATTTTCTTTGCAAATAACCAACATAGTATTAGTACACTGTGAATTTTTTTAAAGTAATGTTGTTCGATTCATTATTTGAAAGAAAGGTACTACTTTTCCTTCCTTAGTATTCCAGTTTCGTTGGTGACGAGTTCTTTGAAAAATATTCAAGCAAAAGAATTTCAAAATACTCATTTTTGATTCTTCTTTACCAGTACTTATTGTGTTTATTGATGATTGAAAATAGACGAATAGAGATAAAAACAAAGAAGCTATCAACTTATCAAACATCACAATTATCTCTAATATGCATTCATTGTTATAATTAATAAACAATACATTACATCTACTGATGACATCCTGATTGTTCAACGTTAATTCGTCTATTTAGACAACAAGTTTGAATTACTGAATGACAAAGTTTTATTTTTCTATAATGAGTTTTGTTAAAAAAATACAGGAAAAGACAAACTGTTTCAATTCTTCAATCAATTAGCAAAATATTTTCGAAAAATAAGCCGTTTTCTAAAAAAGCATTGTATCACATTGTTTTTCTTTCTGCTATGATTGTAATTCAGTGTCACGCTGATGAATTGAAATATTCATATGACATAATGATGAGTTTCTCATTAGATTTTTTTTATTTTCTTATTTCTTTAACTAAGCAACGAATAAATCATCGAATGGGATTTTGTGTGTCTTTATTATAAAATAAATGAAGTTTGAAAAAATATCAATTTGTTTTTTTTCTTCGTCTTTTCTATGCTTCTAAATCAAGGACACACATGTTAAAATTAAAGAAGTAAATCAAAATATCTTTGTTTATCATTACTTTTTCTCCTGAACTAAATCTGTATGCCTTCACCATCATAAAGTTGTTGGATATGGTTGTAGCTGTGGATAAATGCCATTTTGAATGTGCGTAAACGAAAATTCCATTTACTCTCACATCTAATTCTACTCTCCTCGAACTACCTTACAGCATTCATCAGGTAGTCTTAT